CTTTCCCCGGTTTTTCCCCGATTTTTTTTGCGGGGTCTCGTTCTGTTAGAGTGTTTACCATACTTTGCTCTTCCGTATTCCAAAAAAAGTTTCTGAAACTGATGTGTTCCTCCATATGGAATATTTATAGCTTGAGTCGAATATAAGAAATCATAATTTGAAGAATTAAATAAATTCAGTTTGACAAAATTAACAACATCCCGAATTTCATATTGAGCCGCATTCATCTCAAAAACTGTCGCAATCAACCCTTTGTATGGTGTTTGACATGCTGAAGCTAAAATGATACAATTAAAAAATAAACTGGGTAAAAAAATCTGAAATTGATTTATATAAATTGTAAGTTCATTTTTTGTACGACTACATATTTTTGTTAGTTTTTTGGAATTTCGGAGACTATCATTAGCAGTATATTTGGGGGAACTGTCGTCAAAGGGCATGGGGGAAGAGAAGGAGTGACATTAGGGTTGGGTTTTCATTTGAAGTTATCAAATAATCAAAGGCTTAAAAATTTGCGGGGAATGTCGGGAATTATGATAAAATTGTTTGATGTTAAACAAATTAAAGGGAATTTTCAAACATATGACATTTTTTGTTAAGTCATACAACAATTCAATGGACCGCGTCAAGCATTTTTGGGGAAATTTCTCTTCAATTCAGAGTTTACGGGAAATGTTTTTTTATTGCAGAAAATCACATTTACAACTGATGCTCTAAATAAATTTTCGGTAAATGCAGACTAGAAAAATCGCAAAATCATAAAAATTAACCAAAAATCGAAACATTGATGGAAAAATTATTGGAAATTGATCCATAAATCATGAAAATGTAATCCGAAAATTACGAAAAATTAACCCTAGAATTATTGAAAATTAATCCGAAAACTGTAGAAAAGACACAAAATTAGTTCAAAAAGGACCCCAAAATCGTGAGAAGTTGACTCAAAAAATCATAAAAATCACCAAAAAATACAATCCTGAAAATCTTGATTTTTTTGTCACTTTTTCAAGATTCTTGGGTCATTTTTTATGACTGCTCATAATTTTAGGCTAAAAATAGAAGATTTTAAATCACCGAAACCGAACAAAAAATTGCTAATGCGTCCATAATTTTCAGAAAACGTTTTTTTTTCGAAAACAAAATTCGGAAAATTTTTTGTTTTCCGACTCCGCACAAACCTGGTAATCTTTTTTCCAAGAATGCACCGCGTAGTTAGGTTAAATCACTAATAGAAGGTCACCCTACACTTCTACTTTGAGGTCAATTATCTCGGTATCATCTTAATTCCTATAAGAGATAACAAAAATCTGTTAAAATGTTGGTGATATTATGACAAACAATTTAGCAGTTGACAGATTTGTATAGCTCTCAAAGAAATCGAGATAATTGAGCGCAAAATGTGAGTATAGCGTTCGCATAGTTTCCTAGCAGTGAAAAAGACTCCAGATTTCATGGTTAGCTAAATTACGGTAGCCCGAAATTCGAATTAATTTATCTTTCTGGGACATTAAACTATTTCAAGCCGTCAATTTTTTTTCTTGGAATTTTCTATATTTAAACCATCTTTTCCATGTAGTCGTCCACATTTTCGAAAAAGTAACCACTCCAAAACTTTGAATTCAACAACGGCTCTTCATTTGTGCTCTTCTTCTTCTTCTCACCCTCATCCATCAAAAAGAGTGCCGTGCAAAATGTTGTTTGACAACTGACTGATTAACTGATTCATTGGAATTCACAAGAAATTGAGACCTACTTCTCCTTTCTCTCTCTCACTTCTTTTTACTACAACAACTCTACTACTACTACTATTCATACCCTCCCCAATTCTCCTTTTCGTCCTCCATCCACAATGCTCCATTCTCTCCGTCTCTCTCCCGTTCAATTCTATTTCTCCTCCCATTCCCTTCCCATCTCTCTGTCGGCCCTCTCTTTTCTCTTTCTTCTGATTTCTGGAGGTCCGCCAAGGTCTCCGGGTTCTTCTTTTCTGTGTGTGTGTGTGTGTGTGTGTGCTTTTTTTTTGTCGTCGACGTCGTCGCCCCGACATTTTTATTCTCCCATCTCGTCGTCATTTTTCACTTTTTGAGCAACTAACGGAGCAACACGATGCGTCAAGCAGCTAATAATCGACTCAGAAGTTTCGAACGGGAGATCCATCTGCTAAGGTGAGTGTTTTTGAAATTTCAACTTTTCCGAAAAGCTAAGATTTAAAAAACCTAAAGTTCCTGTCAAATCAAATTAACATCCACTGATGTCTGCAGATGGATGAATGTTATCTAGTAACTCAAAAGTATAACTTGCGTTTCAAACCTTTTCAGTCTCATTTTGAGGCCTATACGGTCTTACTGAAGCCAAAATTTAAAAATTTGTAGAAGAACATTTTTCAAAAAATTATAAACGATCTCAAAATTTTCAATTTCAATTGTTTTATGAACCGAGGACTTTTTGAAATTGAATTATGATATCCTTTTGAAATATGATAGGTCCAAATGAAAAATGGATTATGAACTTTGATCTTGGGAAAAAACGTTTTTGAAAAAAAATCTTTAAACCTGTATAAGAAGAGCCGGCCCTTCTATTACAGGGCCTTTCTGTTTTTTCAAGCCACTCCTGGAGTGCCCTTCTATTAAAGTGTATCTTCTAATACATATCTTACAGTAACCTCCAATAGAATACGCCTGAATCTTACGGTTAGAACCACCTGGAATGTTTTTAAAGGGGCGGATCATCTTGAAGGGACCAGAAATTTTTCAGAGTTTTTTGTAGTCGTAAAATTCAAAAATCCAAATGGAACTCTTACTTTTTCCCACAGAAATCGGACACTCGCCGAGCATCGGATATCTTATTTTTAGTTTAGGGTTCCTTTATAGATGAACATAGCAAAAACTGACCACTAAAATATTAGACATCTCAAGCTTCCCATTTTTTCATTCCAATGTGACAATTATCTGAAATTGCCAGATTCAATGCCAAATTCCTCTCCTCTTTTTTGTGTCCAAAAACAAACAAACATATCCAATTCTTATTTGCTTTTCGCGCCTGTCATCCGATTTTTTTCTTGAGTCAAGATCTACCAAAATCTTGCAAATAACCCTTTCTTTTTGGTTTCAGGAACCTTTGTTTACTGCTACTTTCTCGGAATCCAGGTCCACCGAAAAATATAAATTTTTACAACCATTTTTATGTTTCCAGTCGCATTCTTTTCTTCCATTCTTTCTTTTCATTGCCGCCCAAGTTCATTCTTCCTCTATTCCCTCTCTACATTTTTCACTGTTCCCATAGAAATTCCCATGAGATTCGAAATCCGTTTTTGATGAAAGAAAGTGTGAAGTTGTCGACGAATTTTCGTCAAAAAAGAGTGATGAGGCAATGCACTTTTGCACGAAAAGTATCCAGCTGTGAGATTCAAAAAAGGAAAAACTTTTGGGAATTCTATGAAACATTATACGAAAATAGCTTCTGGGGTGACAATAGAAAACGATCAGATGGTTTGAGAGATTTGAACTCTTATTGAAATATTCTTAGTAAATCGGATCTAAGGAATTTGGACAGATAAAACAATTTCTGGTACTTTTGTATGGACTGACCAAACTTTGATGGTTTTTAAAAAATTCTGGTCACCGGGCGGACCCAGGATCTAAGGGTACATCGAAAATAGGTAGTCCTAGTTCTTAGGATACCGTAAAAACTGCATTAGAAAAGCCGGCCATCTATTTTCGTAGGGTCTCTTGGAAGGGCATTTCTATTAGAGGGGCCCTTATAATTTAGAATTTACGGTACATGAGAATTAGGTGTATAGGATTGATTTAGCGTACGCCTATAATTTTGAGAAAAAATAGTCAAAATGTTTTGTGTTTTTTGCCATCCCACATTTACCACAAATGTCGTGTATGCTTGGAATCAATGTACCCAAAGAACTAGATGTACCTTCGGATATTGGACCTGTTCATTGAATATAGAGCGAGAAGATGGAATAAAATGTAAGTCATTTCTAGTCGTCCATCTTCAAAATTTGAAAAAATTGTGACCCTATTTTGGTTTATGGTAGTATTTCAATTAATTCCACATAACTTCATTCAGGAATATCAATGCCCAACCTGAACTTTGATGACAAAACTCAGTAACTGTCTTGAATAATCAACATGATCTATTACAGTAGACCATGTTTTTCCACATTGTTCGAAAATATTCAATTTCACATTATCTTAAGTTTCGAATGTGGATACTTCTCAATTTTATTATCCGAAACTCTCAATTATTTCTGACTCAACTAAAATCTTATCATGTCTTTTCCTTCTTGAATAAGCTGTGTTGCTTCATTGCCCAACATATTGTCAAGTCAATTAAAACGTTAAATTACCGTATTTTCTCGAATTGAAGCCTATAGGTTTTTATCAAAAACTTAAATCACGAGAACGTGTTTGAAAAAGAAAGAGGATGTCTGCAGAGGGTGCGCTTCTATGTTTTTAAGCACGTTGGAGAGCAGGCTTCTAATAGAGGTGGGCTTCTATTGAAGCAAATACGGTATTTTTTAGACAATCGAATTTGGCTCATTGCAACTGATATACTAAAAAACCCTCTAATAAAACGCCACCCTTAACTTGTGATTTGAGCTCAGTTATCTTAATTTCTGTAAGAGATATCAAAAAGTGGTTCAATGGCAAAATGTTTCTGATATTACGGTAAGTATTTCGTCAGTTGACTTATTTTTGTTATCTCTTACAGAAATTGAGATAATTGAGCCCAAAGTGTAAGCTTGTGGTGGACTGCTATTAGAGTGTTTACGGTAACAAACTCTGATATATTTCTGAGCGGTACTGTAGGTCTATTAAAAAATATTAGACCTCTTGAAAACTTTCTTTTATCCTCTAAAAATTTAAACTCAGCAGGTCTTTTTATTTTTCGAATATTTTGTTCATGGTCAATCTGTTTCTTTATGCAACCATTAAAAATGCAAGTTTTTGTTTTCGCTTCCAGACGAACAAGCGTTCTGTTCGTTTTCTTTCCCCGAATTCATGAATATCACTCATTCATCATACTCCCTTTAGCTTTTTCCAGATCTTTTTCTCTACTTTTGATTTCTGATTTTCTTTCTCTCCATCTCTCCGTCTCCAACGAACAACTAAATGGACCACCAGTAAAAAGAATAAAAATTGACGAGAAGTTGTCAATCAGTTGTGGGACGACGGGTCCCCCCTGTTTTCTCGTTATTTCATATCCAGATACATGTGTACGGAGACACAATGTGGTTTACACTTCCGGCTCGATTTTCTTGAGCAAGTTTCAGTTCACTTTTTTGGTACTAGTTGTTCTTTGCTGTTCTATTGGAGCTGAATATGAGGTTACTGTAGCTCTCGGTGTCAAAATTTGTAAAATTAGCTTATTATGATAAAAGGAACCTAGTCTTGTTTTTATTTAGTTTTTTCCAATCATGAATTTCCAAAAAAAAATTGTAGATGTTTGTGTGATTTTTTTAAAAAGTAATTATCATTTTCTCGTTATCAACAACAAAGATTTTATGAGAAAACAACAGAAGAAATTGAAATTTTGTGACCGAAATCTTATTTCTAGCTTCTTGGATACCAAAACTTGTCGATTTAAATAAATCTCATTTCATTACTATTGTCATTTGCGGTCTTGTTTCTTCTTTTCCAGATTCTTCTTCTTCTTCTTTTTTCCCCTTACATCCTTCTTCGTTTTTGGGTCTTCTCCTTCAAGTAAAAGTCTCATAAATCACTCACTTTTTGTACGAACGCCGCCATTTTCACCTCTTCTTGCTGTGGGTATCTTTGGCTCCATACTTAGTTTTTCTCCACAGAAAATACTGAAAAAAAAAATTGAAAGTATAATAGCCGGAAACTCCGCCCCCACCATCTCTCCTGGCCACCTTGGATTTTCTTATTCTGTCTGGATACGAAGAGGTGGTTGTTGTTCAGAATTTTTTCTTGGTGGTTTCATATTTTGTGTTATTTTTTGAATTCACTTTCAGATTCATGAAAAAGAACAAGGAGAGTCATAACATCCTAGAAAAAAACTTGAAATTTTCAGTTTTTCTACTAGTTGAACTGAAGGGTAACGATGTGTTGAAAACCTCCAAACAAGTCGGAGAATGAAATTTTTCTAAACCTAAAAAATTGCCGGAAAACGGACGAAAGTTGAGAAATTTTTTTGATAACGACGGTAGTTGAGTCGTGGTCGCGGCAACCAGATTTTCTCTTCCACAGCTCAGATTTTTGCATACCAGCCTGAAAAAATAATTTTTGTTTCGTTCCATTTTTGATGTGGCTTTCGTCACAAAACTGTTTCATTTTGAAGTCACTGGGAACTTCTTTCTGACTTGATACGGTCTACCAGCCTTTAATTGGTCATATAATCAAATCCCAAACCGTAATACAGTACCGGTCCATATGATACCGTAAAAACTGTAATAGAAGGGACCCGTAACTTTTGACTTTTAGCTAACTTATCTCAATGCCTGCCACAGATATCAAAAAGTTGTCAACTGACAAATTTTTTATCGTATCATCATAAACATTTTATCAGTTCACACATTTTTTATGACTTTCATAGAAACCGAGATAACTGAGCTCTCAAACTTGCCAGTGTGAGGGCCCTTCTATTACAGGTCTCAAAAATCTATTTTTCAGTTAATTTTCGGCCGTTTTGGCACATTTTTAAAAGTCTGAAGCCCGTCTGTTAAGTTTCCGATCAATTTGAACATTTTATAGAGTGTAAAACAGACTTCACAACTTCGCATTCGCAGAATTTTTTGAAAATACAAAGCTTTTCAGCTATTAGCGATTTCTAAATGACACCTGTTTTTTCATGTTGTCAGTGCAAAAACGGGCAACAAATGGGTGTCTTTCAGAAATCGACGAAAAGCAGGAAAAACTAGGGATTTTCAGAAAATTCTGTGAATGCCAATTTTTCAATCTATATCTGTTTTACATCCTCCAAAATTTAAAAGTGATCTGAAAATCCCGAGCTCCAGAATCCTTAAAATTGTCAAAATGGCCGAAAACCAGCCGGAAAATACGTTTTTGTATATCTCATGACCGCTCCAACAAACCCTAATGTTTTGATCTCTCACATTTTCAATTTCCTATTATTCCTTCTCCAAACATGGTCCTTCTATTCTTGGTGCACTCTTGTGAGAAGCAAATTGAGCATGAGCACACCACCATCTTACTCCCACTCACATTTGGCCTCGCTCCATTTGTCTCAATTCCTGAAGCACCACACACTCCGTCAGATTTGACATTTCGCCTACGTTTCCTATTATTTCGATTATTCTCAAAATTCAGATCGGTTCAAAAAAGAAGGAATCTGTTCAGAGAACAAGAAAAAATAAATATGTTTTGTTTCAAAACTCTTGCCGTTTTTTGTCGGGCTTTCTTGTGTTCGAATTGTATTCCCCCTGGAATTCGTTCGGTGCGCCAATAATTGATTCGCCCCTGGGTGAGGAGCATCCATCCAAATGGTTCTTTTTCTTCCCCAGCTTTACTTCAACTCAGATTTATTTCCTTGCTTCTACTCTAGTTCTCATTTCCCCGACTATAAATCTTTCAATCTTCACCGTATATATTTTCAATTTACTTAAAAGTGAATGAGCGGTCATAAAAGGTCAGATGGAGTTAGGAGATAAAGTTTGGGTGGTATATCAAGGAACCCTCTTGGGATGATCATCAATGTAATTAGTTTTCTTTTTATTCTCCACGTCTTCTTCTTCTTCTTATTTCCATTTCTTTCCATTTCTTTTTGTTGCAATGTTCATCCAACACTCATTAGTGATTCCCGGGAGGTTCCGATTCTTCCATTCGGGAGGTCCATGAGAGGGTTCACTCAATGGTCACGCATTCAGGACAATTGAGCATGAGAGCAGCACAATTTAGTTCCTAGCGGTCACTCAGTTTCTAGTTATAAACTTTCATAGGAAGTTTATGAAAAGTGTCAGTTCGCTTTAACAGCTTTTTAAAGATATTTTGAAGAAGAATATATGTGTTGCATTCTATGCATACTTCCATTAGTTTTATATTTGATCTACCAAATTATTTGTGATTTACCCACCTAAGAAGAGCGCCCTTCTCTGGCACTCTTCTTCTTAGTTGTTTCATTGGTTAGAACTCCTCTTTCTTTGGGGCTGACAACCATTCTCGGCCTGTCCTAGTCTCTCCCAGCCTTCTCTACTTTTCCCCCTCTATTCTCGTACATCTTTAGTACCTGAATAAATCTGTATTCTACTACTATTCGTATTCCTTGAGCCGGCCAGAATGCCGGATCCTAAGGACGTAACAACTGCCCAAAGAAAGAGGAGTTCTAACCAATGAAACAACTAAGAAGAAGAGTGCCAGAGAAGGGCGCTCTTCTTAGGTGGGTAGATCACAAATAATTTGGTAGATCAAATATAAAACTAATGGAAGTATGCATAGAATGCAACAATATGCGTTATAGTCATTTCAGCGGTTAGGACTGTTCTTCTAAAGGTGGACTCCTAATCTTTTTCTGTAATTTCCAGCAACTCTTCCCGAAGTTATGTACACGCATGATATATACTTCGATAAAAATCTGAGAAATTCGAAACGATTCTAAAGATATACCCGTTTATATCCGTCCTGATAATTTTCCGCCACCCCGAAAAATTATCTTCGAAAAATAGAGGGACCCCTGTAGTAGGAGGGCCCCCATCAAAATTAATTGTTGAAAATTAAAATTTTTACAGTGTAAGGTAGTCCAGAAATTCCAGAAACTCACAAATATTTGTCCACAAACTCATTTTTGCTCAAAAACTTTTCACTTTTGATAAAATTATTAGGTTTATCATGAATTTTGAATGAGAAATCCCCCGAACTTTTAATAAAGCGTTTTGGAAAAAATGTCCGGAAAAATTGGCCCTCCTCGAATTGGAGGGCCCATGTAATAGAAGGACCCTTCGGAGGTATCTTGTAATAATAGAAGGGCCGGCCCTTCTATTACAGGTTTTACGCTATGCAAAAACTAAGTTTTCAGGTGATTTTAGGCATTTTTCAGGGGGTCTGGAGCTCGGTTGTCAGGTTTCCGATCACTTTGAAAACTTTGGAGGGTGTGTAACAGACCTAGATTGAAAGCTTTGCAGTTTAAATATTTTTGAAAATTCCTAGGTTTTCAGCTATTTGCCAAGTTCTGAATGACACCTGTTTTTCTTACGTTTTTAGTTCAAAAACAGATAAAAAGAGGTATCTTTCAGAAATTGTCAAATATATGAAATGTTAGAAAATTTCAAAAAATTCTGTGAATGCAAAGTTTTCAATCTGTTTCACACTCTCCAACGCTTTCAAAGTGACCGGAAACTTGACAGCCGAGCGGTAGACTCCTGAAAATGGTCAAAATGGTCAAGAATTCACTGGATTCAGGAGTTTCGCAAACTAATCTTTGTGGTTTTTTCACTACAGTGTATTCAGATTCCTTCTCAATTCTTCTTGCCCCTTTTGCCCTACTAATTCCTTCTGGAAACAAACAAATATGCTTCAAATTCTCTCTCCACTGCTTTCTCCACTACTCAATTTGTGAACTTTCTCATGTTTCCACTCTATTTCATCGGGAAGGAAATGTGCTTGCTCTTGGAAGAAACGGTGAAATTCGATCTTCTGGGGGAAAAAGAGTTTTGCTGAGATTTCGCCAAGAGATTACCCACTTTCTCTCTCTCTCTCTCTCTCGTTTTTTCCTTTTGCTTTTCGTTTCATTTGCACTCGTCAAGAAGGAAAATCTCATTAAAAATTAATGAGATTTTTTTAGAGTTTTTGACGATAACACGAAACTTCTAAATCCTGGCGGTTTTTGGTTTTTTTTTTTTGAGATTCATCAGACGATATTTCTCTTGCTCCCCATTTCAAAATTTTATTGTTTACAGAAAAATGGACGGTGAAACTGCACTTTTGGATGAGTACAACTCAAATTTGGCGTCTTCCAGTTCGGCATCAGATGTCGGAGAACGAACAAACATGGGAAGGAATCATCATATGACTACAGAATTCAATGAGTTAGTTTTATGAATTTTATTCGAAAATACCGTATTTTCTCTAATAGAAGCCCACTGAAGCCGTCAACGTCGAGCTCAAATATCTCGATTCCTGTAAAAGATATCAAAATATTGTCAAATGATAGTTTATCACTCCTGAAATCACAATATTTTATCAGTTGACAAGTTTTTGATATCTTTCACAGGAATCGAGATAATTGAGCTCCATGTTGACGGCTTCAGTAGGCATCTGTTAGAAAAAAAAAAGCGTGATACAAATTATTCAGGTGAGGCAAAACACCCGAAAAAATACTTTGAAAAGAGCAAAAAAAAACAGGGAAAATACTCGGAAAATGCCTCAGTCTGGCTGAAACTATAGGGAAATCTGTAGTAAACTGTAGGTAACATATTACCAAAATTTGTGGTCAAAATATCTACTTTGAAAGTTTGGCTAGAACTTCAGACAAACTTTCAAAGTGGCCCCCAATTTTGGCAATATGTTCCCTATATTTTTCTTCAGTTTTCCCTGAAGTTTCAACCAGATTAGGGCATTCTCCGAGTTTTCTGATATTTGTTGGTTTTTTGCATATATTTTGCATGCATAGGTTTGCCACTCAGATTCCAGTATTTCGATCAAAAACGAATAACAAAACTTGGAAAGTTCCAAATAAAAACGAGTGTTGAAGTGTTCCATGGACCACCCACTCTTTGATTGTGCTCTATTGTTGTTTTTTCGGGAATTCCTTCAAAAAATATAAGAATTTCATTACTTCCGGAAATTCCTCCTTAAAAGTTTTCATTTTGAACAACTCGACTTCATCTAGGACCTTCATTCCCCTCCATTTTCGTTCTTCTCCTCTTCAAGTGCACCGCCCCATTTCTTCATTCCATCGGAAGCATCGAATCATTTCCAGTTGGCTTCTTTTCTTCGTTTTTTTGTGTGTGCATGTGCTCCTTCGTTTTCATTTTTCTCCATTTGCCTTACTCTTAGGGTACACATGACGGACCCAAACGAAGAAAGTCCTATCAATATTTTTAAATTTATTTCTTTTTTGCCCTTCTTCTTCTTTAGAGGGGCGGAGCGAGGCTCATTTCGTATCCAAATATTTCATTTTCGGCATCTCTGAGAAGTTTTCCGAATTTCAATCAGATTGAAACGAAAAAAGAGAAGGAGAGAGTCTCCTGTGAATTACCAATAAATTTCGTTGTCCTCTCCTCTTCTCGCCCGAAAACCTATATTGTTATTTTGGAAGACCCCTCCAAAATATGTATGCATTCATAAGTTGTTTCCTCGTTTGGTCGCTGAATGAAGAGGTCCCTTTTGAAAATGAAGAAAACGAATGAAGTAGAGAAGAGGAAGCACTAAACACTTTACACTTTCCCGCTCTTTCTTCAGTTTTACTACATTTTTTACTGGTTTCAACTTTCCAACTTTTTTGAAGAAACATGTGGACACTTCACTTTGTTCCATTCATGAGCTTAGAAAGTGGTTTGAGCTCTGAAGTTTGGAAAACGGATAGTTTTAAAAATTTCACAGTCAATTTTTCATTCTCTGTTTTGAAAAGGAGTATTGCTTATTACTCTGTTTTAATTTAAATGGGTGGGCGGAGCTAAGTTCCGGTAGAAAAATCCTTAAAGGCGCATTTAAAGGTGCATGTATTTTTGTAACTATTTTCTGGCCTGTTACTGCCTATTTTTCGTTGAATTTCATCGATTTTTAACTTTTTTTCTCATAAAAATTCGGAAAGTCGCAAAAAAATGTCATTAGTAGTATATAAAAGGTTGACGCTGGGACAGATTTTTGCCCAAACATCGCCCAACCCCAAACATTGCAGTTTTCGATCATTTTTGAACATTTACAACTCCATTTTGTGTCTTAATTACCAGAAAATGAGTCATTTTCGAAAAATGTAGAACGCCACCGGTAACAATCACCTTTGAACCAATTTATCTCGGTTTCCGTAAAAGATTTCAAAAAGTAATCACATGATAAACATTTTTTCAAATGGCCACTTTTTGATATCTTTCACAGGAATAGAGATAAATTAGCTCAAAAAGGAAAGTTAGGGGTGGCGTTCTATTAGAGTGTTTACGGTACCTGCTCCTATAAATGCACCTTTAAGGATTTTTCTGCCGAGCCTAAGCTCGAATTTTCTGCATTGAAGTCAGACCAGAACAGCTTTAGTCTCCTAAAATTTGTAGAATTTGCAATAAAAAACAGGTGCCGAGTTTTCCCACAGATCTCGTCTTATTGATTCATCAATATTTTATGATTTTTGTAATCCGATATTTCTATTTTTATCATTATGACCACAAATTCCTAGTCATTTTACTCACTTGCCCATCCAGTTCATCTCCAAAAACACGGGTCTCTAGTCCTTTCTCTAATTATCTTTTTTTCCTGTTCTCCTACTATGTTCACATAATTAATGTCGATCCCCTGGATCTTCTAAATCCCTTTTCCAGCAAGAAAAGCAGATACAAAATTTGCTCTTTTCCTCATTAGACAACAAATGACTATTCTTGAAGACTTTAGAAGAAGTCGCCGGACGCTTCTTTTCATTTTAATTGGATTCCCCCGGAGAAACACCGTGAGCCAGAGTGAGAACAGAGGACGTTGATGCCAAAACAACAACAATTGTCTTCTTTTCTTCTCTGAAAGACGTTTCAGTTCTTTAGTACGACACTTGGTGACCGCTGTCTGAAAATTCAGAGAAACCATAAATACTCTAATTTAGGCCACTCTATACGATCTCAATTATCCCAATTTCCAAAAGAGATATCAAAAATCTGTTAACCTGAGAAATGTTGATGATATTATGATAAGCATTGTATCAGTTGACAAATTTTCCATATCTCTTACAGTAACCGAGATAATTGAGCTACAAGTACGGTAATTTGGATTATTTTCGAGAATCCAGTCGAAGAACAAATTTCCCTTTCTCCCTCTTCTCAAATTATAATGGTTCCTATAAATCTACTTTTCAGAGCCACCAACGGATTTCCATCCTGTTCGCGATATCCATACGAAATGCCCCATGGAAATGGTCATGTCACTGTTACCCAGGTATCGGCCAAACCCAATTCGATTTTTTAATGAATCCTAACTTTTCAGCCTGGATCCTCACAGCATCCGGATCGTTTAGAAACAGCTGTGGACATCAATGACGGTGATACTGATATTGAAGAGGAATTATCCCATTCGTGTAAACAAGTTATCGTCCCCTCAAAATCACAGGTTCTTTTCTACGTGTCAACGTCGACTCATCTGAAGTTGAATCACCAGGGATCCGAGTTGCAGGTATGGGTTGATAAAAACGGGTATATCTTTGGACATAGTATCCTGGAAGCACGAAAATTGGTAAAAATATAATTTCACTTTTGATTCAAAGCTACTAAAATTTTCAAATCGATCCCTCAAGTCTAGGTCATGTTATAATTGTTCAAAGATCAACGGCGAAATGTTTCCTGTGAAGCAACTTTGACAAGCGATAACTCATCTCACAGTTGATGAAATAATTTAAAAATTGGCCAGTTTACTGATAAGTAACTTGAATTTTTCACTCCAAATTTGAGCCCAGTACAATGCTTTACTCAAATTTTATGCTAGTACAAACCCTATAAGGAGTATCTGTCAAAATAAAGATTTACAGGTCACAGATCCATCCGACTTTCCACTTTTGGACATCTGGTCCGAGAATGTTTGCGATGAAGCCCCATTTTGGATCATCGAGTCATACGGTAACTTTTTTTATATTAACTTTTTATATAAATGAATTTCCAATTGTTTATTTCTTCAGGACGTCGAGTAGCAGTTGTGACAGATACAGCTCCTCGTTCTCTGCTCTCCTTCTTTCTTCCATTTTTACGACCAAGACGGGCGGTTCCAACTTTTTCAATTATTGACTGGAATGGAGAGGTTTTGGGATATTATTCGCTTGGTAAGAAAACTTTATTAGAAGCGAAAACATAGCTATTGTATTTTAAGGAAGTGACGGAATCGAAATTCAAGACACTCGACACGAACCAATCGCGAAGGCTTTCTGTGAACCGGATCCGTCTGGAGGATCCACGTGGCGAGTAGTCTGTGAAAAGAATTCTCAACGACAGCTGGCGATTTTGACTCCAGATGGACGACTCTCGTTTTCTTCTGAAATTGCTCTTCCTCTGAAACTTCTTGTCATATGCACATTGAGTCGAGCAGTGGTTAATCGAACATCTCCTTCTTGTTTTCCATTCTTTCGATAAGACATTTCGATATTCATTATTTTGTAATTTCCGAAACAGCGTTTCCATTAGGAATCTCAACTGTTTTTCTACTTTTCTCTCTTCTTCTGATTCTATGGAACCCCTTCTTCTACACTCGCCTTATCTGACTGATAATCGTAATTATCATCAAGAAACTTTTGTGTAAACTGTACTGTAACATAATTTACGAGAAGTCTTTTCATTTGTGCCAAATCTAATAAAAACTTCAAAACTTGCAAAAATGTACAAAATATACGAAAATATAAAAAAAATTGAGCCTATAATTTGTCGTCGAACTCAGGATGAGCCAGTGTGTAGGCACGGTATCCAGCCAGAAAACTGGCGATGATCTGAAACGAATTTTGTTGGTTTTAAAGAGAAAACAATTTTATGATCTTTTCATACCTTTTTCTTATCTAAATTTGTGATTTTATGAGGTGTCCGAAGAACAATAAACCGGTGGTTCTGATCTCGTGCTCTCAAGGTTAAAGGTGCATGATTATGATGTTTGGAAGTTAGGAAAAATATAAAGTTTTATAACTATCGGTTTTCGGAGTCACTCTGTTGACTGTTACAGTACTGGTTAATTAGATTCACAAAAGCATATTTTTCAGTTGATTTTCGGCCGTTTTGACCGTTTTCTGGAGTCTGGAGCTCGGTTGTCAAGTTTCCTATCACTTTGCAAATTTTTGAGGATGTAAAAAAACAGACATTGATTTAAAACTTCGTATTTACAGTATTTTTTGAAAATTCCTTTGAAATTCTAGGAATTTGTTTAAAAATTCTGCGAATGCAAAGTTTTTTTTTCAAAGCGATCGAAAACATGACAGCCGAGATCCAGATTCCTGAAAACGGCCGAAAATCAGCTGAAAAACATGTTTCTGTATATCGGTACTGTATATCCTCAAAGACTACAGTAATAATCTAGCATATTCCTATAACAGTCAGCCTACATACCTCCACAACCAACACTCCCATTGAAGCAGCTCCAAGATATTGGGCATCTGATGAAATACGATTCCTGATCACTTTCTCACAACCCTAAACTAACAACTATCACGTATTCTTCTCAATATCCCTCACATCATTGTAATGTCTTTGATAACAATGCAAAGCTTCCAAATCGCTTGATGATCCAGCACCACCCCAAGCAGTCGTCCAGTCGGCAGAACTCATCACTCCGCAACAACCAAACTGCAAATATCGTAAATTTTAAAACCGAAATATATTTTTTTTCAGTTACCGAATTTTGAGTGTTCGCCCAGAATTGAGTTTCAGCATCGCTTGGAAGGGTTCCGATTGGTGGGCGGGTTCTAGAAAAGTTTCATGAGGATCATTAGGCTCAGGGAGACTCATACAATTTAGACGTCTTATTCAACGATTCATATAAAATATCGTCAGATGCCAATTGATTGATCTGATCTGAATATGTGAAGGCTAGGAGACCATCCACCAGTTGGACAACAATCATAAGAGCAATCATAGCGCAGTACTGGAATACCCATTTAATAATCGAGAAGATATTTAAAAAAGCAACTCACAACTTTCAGGAGGAATGTATTATGTCGTACCACTGAGATAGTGGCAACGATGAAGGACAGGACAAGAACTCCAGCAGCAGCCACGAACAAGCCAAAAATCATATCTAGTCTTTTCAACTCAAGAAAGTCATTGTCCTGAAACAATTTCATTATTGTAAAAACCATTTTTGGATTACTGTACCTGCTGAGCGTAAGTGGAGAACGTTGCGAATCCACCTCCAAACCGGAAAACGAATCCAATAACTATCAGAGCGACACCAATAATCTAGAAGAATAAACACGTTTTAAAACTACAGTAACCCTGACTCACAGCAGTTGCCAGGGAAGCTCCCAGGAACGTTTTATCTTGATTATTGAGCTGCATTCTTTTGGTTTAACCTGGAAAATAAATGACCTAGAAAAAAGTTTGAAAATTAATTACAGAATGAATGAAATGACAAGAAGCTGCACAATAGAAGAGTGATAAGTGATGATACGTAAAACACGTCGAATTGAGGTAATTAAATCTCGACATTAAACATATTTTAATTGCCAAACGGTCTATGATAGTAGCCGGAGAGAGAAGAATGTCAACATGCACTCCGGTCAACGATTGGAAGTCACGTTGTTGCTTTACCGAGCAAAGAGGAAACCGGAAAAAATTTCGAATATTTTTTCCTGGGTGGGGAGTTCCCAAAATGCATAATTTTTTGTATTACTGTGTTGATGAAAGTGGTGGAGTTATTCAAAACGACAGTTTTTGAGTTACATGGTGGCGGACAATTGATAAAAGCGGGTATATCTTTAGACATAAGTACCTTGGAAGTTCGATAATTAGTAGAAACATAATTTTACGTTTGATTCAAAGCTACTGAAATTTTCAAAGGGATTCTTCAAATGTAGATGGTGTTATGACTGTCCAAGGACGAAATGTTTCTTGCACGCCGTTGTGATTTTCATGAGATGAAGCAACTTTGCCAAGCGATAACTCAACTCCAAGTCGATCTAATAACTTGAAACTTGGCCACTCTACTGATGAATCATTTAAAACTTACAATTAGCAGTTCAAATTTGAGCTCACAATCAGTACAACGATTCATCAAAGTTTTATGCTAGTACAAGCTTTAGATCGGGTAACCTTGCAAAGTGTCAGCTGGGATTAATTAGTTCTTTTGAACCGATGACATTTAGCAAATTGGAGAAAAAACTGTTTTAAAAGTTTCTTATGATAACTAACAATAATTTTGATATCATTTTGGAAGTTGACAAAACCTCATAATTTCGAAAAGTTTATTATATTAGCTATTAAAAAATATATACCCGAAAAAATTATCAAAAGCTTGTACATTCTATTTTTTCAATTATCTTTTTTCTCTTTTTCAGCTTCTTTTGAAACTTCTACAACTTCTGAAACTCCCTTCTTCGGTAGTTTTTCATCGAATCGAACTGTTAGAATAAAAGAAATTGTGAAGAACAAAAAGTAGCAGTAAAATCCTTCGTGGAGACTTGAGAAGAATCGTTGTTGCAACTGGAAACATAGATTTGAAGGAAAAAGGAACATTGGAAAAGTTACCTGGACAGGTCTCAAAAATCCGCAAATTAAACCAACAATACTGGATATTTTGAAAAGTTGCCATGTAGTTTTTCCAGGTCTTGATGTGAATCCTTGTGCTCTGAAGTTAAAAAAAATACTATGGTGTCGCCAGTCGAAAGTTAATTAGCTTCCGACCAAAATCTGACCATGGCCTGATACACAGCCGTTTTCAAGCAAAATCCGTCCAAAAAATTTGAAACTCAAAAACTTACAATAATAGCATAACAACGGCTAGAACAATCAAAACTGCTTGAACAGTTCTCTCAAAGTTGTCCATATTATCCAGTTGATGTCTGACGAGAGCACCAGCAGGTTTATCTGTCATATCCAGGTCAATCGGAAGGTTCAGAGTCCATACATAACCGTGCATCCAGATGCTGAAACTCGGAATCCTATTAAATTTTACCGCAAACAAACAAACAAACCTTGAAAACATAAAATCAAACAAATGTGAGGCAGTAAAAACCGCTAGAATGAATCGGAAAATCAACGATAGCAAATGCCGAACTTTAATTTCAAACGGGGACAGAATGCTCTCATCTTCTGGTTCCAGAATACGTGGAAACGCCATTCCGTAGGAGAGAACACGAATTTCTGTGAGACTTCAGATTTCGATCCAAGTTCGGACGGTATTCAAAAAGAGAAACAACAGAAAGAGGGAGAAATAGTGCGATAAGTGGGGAGACGCAGACAGAGAACTTGCGGCCTTGACATGAAAATGAGAATTAGATATCTTCGAAGAAAGAAACTGTCGAGAAGAAGAAGAAGAAGAAAAAGAAAAGAGGAGAAGTGCGAAAATAGAAGGTGCAGAATTTATAGTATTCATAAAACTGGAGGTGTTTTCTGGAGGTATTCTTGGAAAAAAGCTGTGTAATGAAGGAAAAAAGTTACGACTGAATTTTTGAACCTAAAATGATATGACTCTAATATTAACCGTTAGTTTGAATAATTCCGAAAAAAAAACTCTATGAGACAGGCATCCCTTATTGAATGCCATCCTCTATGGTGGCACTGATGATTTGAAGTTAATAACACAAGAAGCATTTTCTGGTTTTTGTGTTTTTTTTAATCTGGAAAGATTGAAACTGTAAGGTTTTGTTGATGAAAGAGTGAAAAATGGAGGAGTTTTCTGATGAGTTTCGGTAAGGAATTACCGCCGAACAACGAAGGGTCAGCCTCTAATACCGTACCACCACAGAACTCCTCCGAACAGTAGGGTGCCATGGATATCTAGTAGAGTTTTACGGTAAGTTGAACTATGAAGTGTTAAGTAAAAATCATGGAAATTCGGTTTACATCCATCATACCAGACAAAGCGGAAACAATTTAAACGAGCTTCGAAGCAGCTCCTAGATCATAGCTGAACTCGTCCGTGGTTTTTGCGAACTTTTAGCCTATTTTTCCAGAACCACCACCAGGTTTTCTAGGACTTGCTGGAAAGCCATAAAAGCCAGGAATTACTCCAAACCAGACCTGTCCAGTCAGCCAAGTCGTGAACCACGGGGAATCAAGAGATAGCCTGGTTTCCCAGGAGTCGTCGAATCACCAGGTCCACCAGGACTCAAAGGAATCGGCGGAGAGGATGGTGCACCAAGAGAGATTGGATCAGTTGGACCACCAGGATATAGAGGAGGACCAAGACTCCAGAAGATAATGGACCAATTCCGGAAGGAGATCTTAAGGAGGGACCAAAAGGAGACGGAGGACCACCAGGACCAATTGGAGCACCAGGAAAAAGAGGAAAAAACGGATTGGCAGTATCACAAGGGGAACGTTGGGAGGGAGTGTCTGGAGAATCTGGAGAACCAGGATATCCAGGACCAGAAGGATCCATGGGAGGACAAGGACCTCCAGTTATGTGAAGTTCACATGTGAAATAGGGGTCTGTAAAAATAGGCAAAAAATTCGGGGGTACAAGGGGGTACAACTGATTTAGGGGTACAAAATCCATGATTCGGGGGTACAAAATTTTTTAGCAAGTTGTATTTTTTGCACTAAATGGTTCGCAGCTTCGTTTAGATAAAAAGTTTCTACTCAACGGTAAAAGAATATAATAAAACTTACCCAGGCATTTTCTACCCCCCGAATCACTCATTTTGTACCCTTAAATCAGTTGTAGCCCCTTGTACCCCCAAATCGTTGTACCCCCCCCCCTCGATTTTTTGGCCGTAAAAATAATTATGGCTTCTGGGGACCTGAACTGGATATCTAGACGGAACCGAAGTTTTGTTTATTTAATTCTATTGTAATTTAAAACTTTGTCGCCCCATAAAATTCGAAGAACCCTTTCTATAGACTAGACCCCTCGAATTTCCTAATCTTTTCTGTTTTCATCATTATCAAATTTCTTGATTATCCTCATTTCGTTTTCATTTTCTGATAAGAAGGTCATGACCGATATCTCCGAGACAGTTACCGTCGGTCTTCCTTGTGATTCTGTGATTGATGAGTTTGCATTTTTGACGACCTCCTCCGTTAATTTGTTTGTACTTTTATATCATTGAATTCCTGTTCTTTTTTGAGACGGAACAATTCATTTATTAATAATTACACTTATTAGGTCGGTGTCGAAATGTCAACAAAAGATAGGACATTCTGGAATGTTTTGGTGGGAAAAAAGGAAACAAAAAGCAGAAAAAATAGAGAGGAGAAACCCTTAGCAAATGCCGAAATCGGGGTAGATCATAATGAGGTACGGTACAGTCAAAAATGTAAGAAACTATTGTGTGAATTTACGCAAATGGTAGTAGCCTCCGTTATTCTTATGGCCACTGAACGAGTTCTCTGTTCCGTATCCGTCGTTTTGGCTTTGAGAAATTGCGGATGGAGCGGCTGCGTCTTGACCTCCTTGTGGTCCATATGAGCCACCAGTAGCTCCAGGAGCAACCTAAATGATGCATTTGTTTCTCCAAAAATGGAATTCTATAAACTTACATTATCACGTGGAGCTGGAATTCTTCCCTTCTCATCATTCATCACAACTTCAGTATCTTGACAGACACAAGTACCAGGGGTACCAGAAGGTCCTTGTTCTCCAGATGGTCCGATAGGTCCGGGCATTCCTCCTGGTCCTGGTGCTCCTGGCGGTCCTGGCCATCCTTTCTCTCCAGGTGTTCCAGCATATCCATCCTCTCCCTGGCATACCAGCCGATCGTGGTGGTCCCCATGGTCCTGGTGGTCCACCGTCTCCTGGTGGTCCTGGGATAACATGTGCTTCTGGAGTTCTTCCTTTGTCTCCAATTGGTCCAGACTCTCCTGGTGATCCGATTGGCCCTGGAAGTCCTGGCTCTCCTGGCTTTCCTGGCATTCCATCTGATCCCGGTCTTCCTCCGATTCCTGGCTCTCCAGAATCTCCTGGGAATCCTGGATGTCCTGGTACTCCTCGTGGTCCTTGTGGACATGGAAGGCATGGTGGTGGTTCGAAAACACGTTCTGGAATGCATGAGGCGTTTGGTGTGGTTCCTGGTCGACCTGGTGCTCCGTCTGGTCCTGGGGCTCCTGGAAGAGCTGGAAGTCCTGGGTCTCCGGATGGTCCACGTTCTCCAGGAATGCAACAAGCTGGACATTCTTGGAATTGAGGTGTGTCAGCAGCCAACATGGATGGATTATAATGTCCGTAACCAACAGCTCTTTTGGTTACATTTCTTCCTTTCAAAAGTCCTTCTCTCACTGACATCATTTCCGTTTCCAAATCGTCAGCGGAAGTCTGCATAATCAAGATTATTCTGAAGAGTCCGAAACCATTAAATTACCTGGCAAAACTCAAAATCTCGCCTCGAGAATCGTGAGATATTGTCGACATGATTATACATTGAAGGACAAAAACGACAAGAATCAGAAGGGAAACGATTGAAACGACTCCGGAGAAAGCGATTATACATTGGTAACCTGTCTCTCGGCTCTGTAATACTTATTTGAATGAGTGTAAAGGAAGTTGGAGAGGAATTTTGGAATATTTGAAATTTTCTCAATATTTCGGAGAAGGGTGTGTCGGAATACAAGATTCAAGTAATTTTCTTCCAGAGTTGTCTGAAAAGATCCGATTTTTCAATATAAGTATCAATTCTGAATTCCTTTCAATGTATCAAAAATCAATGTATCAAAAATCAAATCGTGGGTAAGTTGCCGAGGGACTAAGCTCAGCGACCCAGATCCCTCTAGGCTTTTTGGTGGCACATAGTTCGGATGGTACAGCGATTCGGGACTACAAGGGGGGGGGGGTCAAAAGTGATTTAAGGGTACAAAATCTTAATTTCGAGGGCCGGAATCCAACTATTTTAATGAAATGCGTACCCGCGAATTGAGTATTTTGTATCCCTAAAAATATCTTTGTCCCCCAATGACCTAAAACTTTTGTACCCTCCAAATTATTTGCCCTTTTTGGCTTTTTATAGGACGCTTTTAAAAAAACAGAAAGTATATTTCGGGTAATTTTTGAACAAAAGCTACAGTACTCACCTCATCAAGTTCTTCTATATGCGGGTCCACATACCCACTTGTTTGCGATTTCATCGCTGAAACTCTACAAAATATTCAAGACTGATTTGAAAGTGATAAAGCGAATGAAAGGCCAGGGATATAAAAAAACGAAGTGAAACTTGAAAAGAAAGGAAAACAGGAGTTGTTATGGTGTAGGTCTTTCTTGGAAACGACAGATGAGTATCATCATCAGAAGGAAAAGAGAGAGAGGGGGGGGGGGGGGGGGTCAAACCTCTTTTCGCTCTCTTCCTACTCTCTTTCTATAATTGACGACGAATTTTCTCTTTCTATGTCGAATGTATCCGATCCAGAAGGATGGTGCGACGACTACTACAATTGGACGCCCAGGACGCACGGAGATAACGGTCTCCTGGAAAGGAAGAAATGGGGTCACGTAGTGATTACACTCAGCATCTATTATCATTTTTCGGGAGAAAAAAAGGGAGATGACACAGTGAGAAGCCAAAAAAGAGAAATGAAAATGGGTGGAGAGTGATTGTCACTTTTCTTGGAGAGTTTCACTTTCGGGTCGGGAATTTTTTGGCTAGGACGGTGGAAAGTTTCAATACCTCAAAGAACCAGAAATCGGATACATCCTGTGAATTTCAATCAAAACGATTGTAGAGTGAACACATCTGAAACTTTGAATTCGATTAGATCTCCTAGGCTCAGAGGATTACTCTAAAGAACCATTACATCTTTATATAAACCTACTACCATAAGACCTCTAATAGAAGGGCCCCACACTGGCAAGTTTGAGCCTGATTATCTCAATTCCTATGCAAGATTTCAAAAAAAGTGCAAACTGATAAAAATCTTCTGACATTATAACAAACAATTTATCAGTTGACAGCTTTTTCATTTCTCAGCCAGCAACCGAGAAAAATTGGCTCAAAGTTAGATGTTAGGGGCCCTTCTATTACAGGGTTTACGGCACTTCATCACTGCTAACTGTCGTTTGCTAGCACCTAATACGTACCGGAAGTATAATTACAGTACACGCATTCTCGACTAATTTCCCATTCTCTTCTCCTAGGTTGTTATTGTTATTGACAACCACCTCTTCCGAAGCGGGGGGTTTCCGAGATAATGAAACTCCGATTGATGTTATCAAGGTCACCTGTCCTCTCCGTTCATTTCTATATGTATCTTTTCTCTTCGCCATTCACAGATTCGTATTTGCATATCATTCACACTTCCTTCGTTTTCAAATTTAACGAATCTATCCTCTTCTTATATTTATCAACCGTTTTCAGAAGTTCTCCCCGTCTGTTCAGGATAAGCCGGATGAATCCGGTAAGTGGTGTTATTAAATCTGATCCAGATCTTTCAAAAAATGTTTCCATTGTGTCGAAAAAATCTCGAGTATTCTTGGAACGTATAGTTGACCTAGATCCTGAAAGCAACACAAAATTTTTTGAGAAATTGAGAAAAAAGGGAAAACAAAGAAAGAAAGTTTTTTGACCTATAAATCTTCTTCGTTTTGCACTACCTGCCGCGCCTCCCTGTGATAAGTTCTTTAGCTGACCCCAATGGAAAAGGGACAACTGATAAAATGATAACGTAACCCAATTTTTTATCTTTCGCTCAGTATGATGTTGCGCGGTGGGCGCCACCACTGCCCCCCTTCTCTCCCGTGCTTTTCACTTTTCGATCCACCCGAAAAGAAGATACCGTACCTCTCTCTCTCTCCTTCTTCTTTTCCTGGTGAAGAGTCTGCGTCTCCAGAACGGTTTCTTATCGGTATCGGAGAGGAAGAATAAGAGGATGTACGTGTGTGTGAATGTGATCCAATCATTTCCGTACGATCTGTTTTGCCCCCCGGACTTTTCATCGACCCCTTTTTGCTACTACGTTTTCTCCGGATAAGGATAGAAAAAAAGAGAAATTCAGTCCGTTGTATAGATGAAACTATTTTTACTGCCATATCTTTTTTTTTATTTCATTTACTGATTAACTTTCAGGTAATAGAGGTTGTCGAAGAGACTGTCACCTCGACTCCAGAAGAGAAGAAAAAAGCAAAGAAGTCTGTGAAGGAAGTAAAGAGGAGAAAGACCAAGAAAGACGAGAACCAAAAGTGAGCAATTTTTATATCATGCATTTTTAAAATAAAATAAAAACAACCTTCTAGCGACATTCCTGATACCCGTCCGAAATTCCTTTGCATTCCTTTGGGCCGCCCAAGTTTATTGAGAAAGGGCCGAAAGGCTTCTTACACTTTTTCCACCGAAGACTTAAGAACTCAAGAACCAGAAGCTGCTAAAAAGAGCAGCATTTTCACCTATCTCTTTGATAGCAACGCACTCAGCAAAAATGAAAAACAACGGCAGAGACGAGTGAGTTCCTAAGAAAATTGATTATTTTAAAAATCGATTTTCAGCTATCGAACATTCTCGCTGACAACGAACTATTCGCGTCAGATGATGTACCGGTGTGTCACAGGTCTTCAAATCGGATTTAGTTTGTTCTCATTCGTTATCGTTTGTGTAGCCCTTCCTATTATGTACAATCATGTCCAGAACACAATTACTTATGTTGACAGAGAAATGGCTTATTGCGAAGTGAGTTTTTACTTTTCTCTATTTTATAAAAAGTTTTTACTTTTCTCTATTTTTTTTATTTCAGAGATCTAACGATGAAGCAGCTCTAGAACTTCAATTCGGCAAAATGAAACTATCCGGAAATCGTACGGCTCGTGGTGCTTATGGAAGCGGAGCTTCCCATGGATTCAGACCAACTGCTTATGGAGACGAAATCACTGGATCACCACTGGAAACCGAGTGCCCAGGATGTTGCATTCCGGGACCACCAGGACCACGTGGACCATCAGGAACTCCAGGAAAACCAGGTCTCCCTGGACTTGCTGGAAAGCCAGGAATGCCAGGAACCACTCCAAACCAGACCTGTCCACTCAACCAAGTTCGTGAACCACCACCATGCCGTCCATGTCCAAAGGGGCCACCAGGAATCAAGGGATGGCCAGGATTCCCAGGAGACGTCGGACCACCAGGGCCACCGGGACTCAAGGGAATCGACGGAGAAGATGGTGCGCCAGGAGAGACGGGACCAGTTGGACCACCAGGATACAGAGGAGGACCAGGAGCTCCAGGAGATAAGGGACCAACTCCGGAAGGAGATCTTAAGGAGGGACCACCAGGAGACGAAGGACCACCAGGACCAATTGGAGCACCAGGAATGCCAGGATTGCCAGGAAGAAATGGATTGACTGGATCACAAGGAGAACGTGGATGGCCAGGAGTGTCTGGAGAATCTGGAGAGCCAGGATATCCAGGACCAGAAGGGCCAATGGGAGGACAAGGACCACCAGGTACGTGAAGTGAAATAGACCGTCTGTAGAAATGATTATTGTTTCAGGAGAGCCAGGAGTTTGCGTCTGCCAGAACGTTGACAGTATCCTTCTTATCAATCCAGGACCACAACCACGTATTCGTGCCGACGACTACAACAATGACGAGGGTTACGGTGGAAGTCGTGGAGGAGGAGATCATGCCGGATACCAGGGTTACGGTAGAAAGTAAACTAAATCCCTAGCATGAATCCCTTATTCTCTCATTTAATAACACAAGACCTCTGTGACTTCTCAAAAATCCCAAAAATGCGTGTACAGTTTCTCTTTTGTTTCCCAAATACAGACATTCCTTTGCCCTCACTTCTACAATTTTGTTTTTTTCGCTTCTCTTTGACCATTTGATTCTCCTGCTGCCTCACAGTTATTCCGACATTGTATTGTTAAATAATAATAATAATTTTAATAAGAATCTTAATAAGATTGATAATAAATTGATTTTTAAAAATAGTTGTCACAATTTAGGAATTGAAAGTTCGCTTGATCTGATCAGGAACTCTAGGAAAGGTTTTTACTATTTGCTAGGATTCAAGAATTCCATGAGCAAGCACTGTGTCCATCCAAAAAAAATCCGAGATCTAACGATGAAGCAGCTCCAGAACTTCAATTCGGCAAATGAAACTATCAGGAAATCGTAGTGCTCCTGGTTCTTATAGAAGTGGAGCATATCGTGGATTCAGACCAACTTCTTATGAAGACGAAATTACTGCATCCCGATTGGAAACTGGGTGCCCGGGATGTTGCATTGGACCACCAGGAAAGCCAGGTCTCCCAGTACTTGCTGGAAAGCCTGGAATGCCAGGAACCACTCCAAACCAGACCTGTCCACTCAACCAGGTCTGTTATCCACCACCATGTCTAAAGGGATCACCAAGAACCAAGAGATGGCCAGGATTTAAAGGAGACGTCGACCAGAACCACGTGGACCATCAGGAAATCTTGAAACTCAGATCGTCAATTACTTGCTAGAATTCTAAAGATTGGGAGTCAGTCCAAACAAGGCCTGTCTTCTCAGACAGTTCTTAAACCTGCATTGTTCCCAATACTAGGTCCATATCCAAATGAAACATAAATTATATCATGAAACTTCAAAAAGAAAGTCAATCCGCACATTCATTTTACCAATTCTAGCACGACATTCCCAATTAATTTGTCACTTTATTTCTATTTGAATTTTCCCCAAGATAACCTGTCGGATCCAAATATTCCAAACTATTACACCCATTTTTAATTCAATATTCCATGAATCTTCAGTGATAAGCTGACCATTTCCTCTCTTCTGATTTACATCGTCCAGGCGGATCATATATCAATTGAACGAGCACGGAGCGTTGAGAAATCGGACACTTTTTGCTCAGACTTTTACACAGACAAGACACGACACCACAATACTATACATTCGCTCTTCCCTTTCGCCCTTTTTCCGTTTCAACCACCCGCCAAAGAAACTGATCGTCATCATCAGAAGAGCATTTCAGAAGAGCATTGTACACTCTTTTCTCACTATAAGGCAAATCTTCTTGTGCTCTCTATCCCGTCCGCTTCCCGCCAAAATTGAATTTCGAAGAATCGGGCGAAAGAAGGAAAGGATAAGAGAAGACTTGCTTCACTTGCCACTTTGTATATTCTTTCACTTTTTCTTCTAATCAATTCAGGTCGGATTGAGAATGAAGAGAGGAGGTGCAAGGAGCATCAGGGTTACTGTAGAAATTGAAAAAATCTGTAGAAAAAATTGTATTAAAATGTTCTATACCAAACTGTGACGAAAAATACACCAATAGCGTTTTTGTAAATCTTGAAAACTTTTGGAATGTCCAGAGGCGATCTGTCAAGAAGTTTTGAGTTTTATGGACAATATTTTTGTATGAACCTCGTGCGATATTAAAACCTTATAATGCTCTGAAAAGACTAAATTAGGAGCGAATAGCTCCAAACTGACATTTCTTGCAATTTTCATATTTATATATAACGTCTCTTTCTCTAACTTTTTTTCCTTCTGTCATCTTCACACACACATACACACACTCCTTTTTTCTTTCTTCTTTTTGTGCCGTAGAGCTCACGGAGCCAGAAGAAGGAAAAAAGAAGAAAAGAGAGAATAAAGTGAGTAGGTCCGAGTGTATGTGCTCTCTCGGAGCCAGACACAACGATGCTCCCTTCACTACATTTTTTCCCAACCCCCACCCCCACCAAAAACACCACCAATAATCTTTTCCATGGTCTTCCCTCCCTTCTCTTCCTTTTCTGTGTTTTTCTGGTGACTTTTTGTTGTCGAATTGAAGCAATGACTATTTTTGGTTTTAGGTGTTCCTAGTTTTTTGGTTTTTTTTCTTTCAATATGAATCCATGGTTCACTGTTCAGAAAATCTGTCACAAACACAATTACAGAAGATTTTGGTAATTCCGTTAAGACTTTTGAAGTTAATCGACACTGATTTTCGGAATATGTTTAAGCATATATTTTATTGTTAAAAAGCTTTTTTTTTCGAAAGTTCCTTCAAATTTTTCAAACTATTCTGAAAATTCAACTCCAAAACTACAGTTAGAACTTCTACTATCATTGTTTTCAAAACGGCGCGCATCTGGCGTTTCAAACAACTGAATGGTGCTCCTTTGGCGCGATTTAACATTTTTCTTTTATTGGTTTGTCGCTTCGCTCCTCACTCTTTCAATGTAAATTTGAAATCACTAGGTGCATTTAATTATTTTTCTTATTTCTATGAAATTGACGCCATCACGATTTTTCGAGTTTTCCATACCATAAAACCTGTATTAGAAGAGCCGATCTTTTTATTACAGACGCCCTTCAATTAGAGGGGGACCTTCTATTTTTCCGGCCTTTTTTTAAATGAAATGTCTCTTCGTAAAATTAGGTGAAAAAAATTTGGCAACGGTACAAAGTTGGTAAAAATTGAAATTTCGTCGTAACTTCATGGAGGTCGAAAATTTCAACTCAACGGTATGAAAACTAAAATTTACCAAAGCATTCCGGAAATTCAAAAAAAATACATTTTTTTAATCCTTTCTGTTTTCCCTCTTGGAAGGCCCTTCTATTAGAGGGACCGTTCTGATACATGTTTGATACCATTTTTTTTGTCTGATTTCATATGGAGATATATATTGTCTTTTGTATTCTTTTCATATAAAACGTTGGACTTTTTTTTGTAAGATAGTGATACTCGAAAATTTTTGGCTCCACGACACTTCAAAACCGGACATTTCGAAGTCAGTCATTTCGAAACCGTGGTAATACAGGCTAATGGATAAATTTTAGACTACAAAAACAACTTCAGGGTTTCAAATATACTTTTCTGATAAAACACTATCCGAAACTCAAAAAAATCCAATAGTTAAATTTTTCGAAAAAAAATCATTTTTGAATTTTTCGAGTTTCAGAATATTAGCTATGGTAAAACTCTAGAAAATGTTCGAAATATCATTTCACACCTTCTTTGAAAGTCCAATTGCATCTTCTCCGCCTCTTCTTACTTTATCCGATTTTCCCACAACTTTTTCTTCCTGCAAAACCTGTCACTTACAAAAGTACAAGACTCAAAATGTTGACCTGCGGCTCGTACTCTGAAACTCTTTGACCCAACTCGTTCTACTATTACACACCCAACTGCAAGACCCATTCCCTCGTTGCTCCTCTCATTTCGAAAACCCCAGAAACCTTCGAAAATGTTGCCATCTACTTCTCCTTTTTGTCTTTTTGAACCGTCTGTCAATCATTTCTTATCTCTCGTGTCTCCATATTTCATATAATCTTTTCTTAATCTATGGGTATTTCCTTTTCGCTTCTTCCTTTTTACATTTTCTCTTCTTCCCAAAAACAATCTCTTCCGAAAACTCTTAAAGTCCTGAACTTCCTCTTTTGACAACTTTCGAAAGAAACTAGATATTTAAAGATTCAATGAGGCGGAGAATTAAAGAATGTGGGAAAATTTTCTGCAATGAAATAAGAGCAAGAGAATTCTCTCTTTTTCTTCTGAGAGAGAGAGAGAGAGAGAGAGAGAGAGAGAGAATTTTTTGACGGATGACATTTGGCGCCCCAGTTCTATTCCACTCCTCCTCTATCTTTTCTCATCTCATACTCCGGTCTTCTCGGCTCCCGGAGCTCGCCAATTAATCACTGGAGCACCCGAGTATTAAGACAGTACATGAGACGAAGAAACGCAGAGACGTCGGGTGTGTTGATGAAACTCTTTTATTGTTCTTCTCTCTCCTTTCGCTCTTCTGTGAATGTGTGGTGAAGGCCGTCAAGATTTTTTTTAGTTTTATAGTTTTGTGTGTGCAAGTTCTGAGTATTCATATTTTTCGGGGTCACTTCTTGGAAGCATTCAATCGTGAGAATTAGGACTTTGAAAGTCAAAGAAGGATTCAAAATACAGGACTTATTAAATACCGTAAAACCTGTAATATAAGAGCCCTCACATTGTCAAGTTTGAGCTAATTTATCCCAATTCCTATGAAAGAAATCAAAAATGTGTCAACTGACAAAACACTTGGACAACTTTTTTATGTCTTTGACAGGGACCGGTAAAAATTTTAGCAAAGTTCAAAGTTAGGGAGCCCTTTTATTACAGGTTTTACGGTAATTGTATTGATGGGTTATCTTATATTCTTGTTCTCAAAATCCAGTCAAGCCAAACGGAAATTTCATAATTGTTCCAAAAAAATAGATTTTTTTAAAAATTACAAAAGAGTATGTTTCAGATTCACAGATTTCAACTACCGTATTTTCAGTAATTACATGAAACTGTAACTTTTAGAATTTCGGTTGAATGGAAAGCTCAAAGATGACAACTCTCAAAATAATTTCGAAAAAGTATTTTTTAACTGTTTTCCAAATATCTCTTTACCCAGAAGGAATATTGTAAAACAACTGTAAAACCTGTAATAGAAGAGCCCTCCACCTTGTCACGTTTAACCTCAATTACCGTAAACATTCTAATAGAACGCTACCCGGGCTGTTTGACTTTGAGCCTATATATCTCACTTCTTTTGAATGATATCAAAAAGTTGTCAAAAAATATACTTCTTTGGATTTACTGTCTTCACCATCCATTCCACTGCTTCTCGGGATAAAGATCCTTGAACTGATCCTTTTGATAGTCTTAGCGTGTGGTTCAGAAAACCGGAAGAAAGACTTGATTCTACAATAAAACCACTTAACGTAATTCCTAGCACAACCAACCCGCCAACTGTGAGCTAATTAATCCCGATTCCTGTGAAAGACACCCGGAAATGTGTCAACTGAGAAAATGTTTGAAATAACATCACCAACATTTTGTCAATTCACCACTTTTTGATATCTTTCACAGAAAATGAGATAAATGGGCTCAAATTTGACAATTCGGGTGACGTTCTATCAGAGTGTTTACAGTATCTCAGTTCGTTTTGAAGATACCAAAAATTGATCAACTGACACAATACTTTTGATATAATAATAACACAGGTGATTCGCGAACAATCCGTTACGGACGCTCCGCGTTCGCGCGCGGTTGAAATAGGAACCGTATATTCCGAATCATGACCAAACGGATCCGTTTGCGAACTCAATAAAACATTTGATTCGCAATCGGATCGGATACGGAGCTCGCGAACGGACAGGATACGGATCAATCCGAATAATGTACTGCTATTTACTGAAAACGGTTAGCGTGCGGTCCGTATGCGGTTCCTATTTCAACGCGTCCGTAACGGACCCGTTCGCATTTTACCTGGGAACTTTTTTATCAGTTTAAAATTTTTTCATAGCATTGACAAGAACCGAGATAAATTGGCGCAACTTTAAAAGTTAGGGGCCCTTCAATTACAGGTTTCACGGAATATTCTTCTGATGTTTAAATCCCCGTTGACATGTCTCTTTAGGTTAATTCGTAATTTTAATTTAACTTTAAAAATTTAAAATTTAAGTTAAATATTTTTCTAATTTTCAGTTCCCCATAAACTTAGGAATTGTACTCTTTCAAGAGTTGTACTTTTCCCTCCAATCTCAATGCCCTACAACTCTTCTCATCATTTCTCACCAAAAAAAAACATAGATGTACATGTTCTTGTATCAAACTCTTCAAATCTAATCCGTTCTTCTCATCATTTTCCAACAATTCAATGTCCCAACTCTCTCTTTTTCTCCACAAAAATGACAATTTGGATGCGATTTCCCATGGGATTCTTCCAATTCACTCTTCCCTTACTATTCCAAATCCGGGGGCAACTTGAATCTTCTAGAAGAAAAAAACATTTGGAATGGGAATTCGATGGAAGAAGAATACGTGCATCAAAGTACGACGTCTTCTTCTTCTTCATCTACTTTACTTCTTCTATTGTGTGGCTCACCGCCCGAATTCCTTTTCATTCGAAATTGGATTCAGTTCCCTTGAGAAGCCATCAGGTCACATTAGGAAAAAGAAAGCTACTAGTTTCTTTCTTTTTTTTTTTATTCTCCCGAAAATTTTCAATTTGACAGAGTGATTTTAAAGAGGATTTCCGAACGAGAGAAAAAAAGTAGTTTGAAATGGGCGGAGTCACCGGGGAAACTGGAAAGATTGGTCCTTTGGTTAGAAGCTTTGCGTTTTTCCTATTTTGTCGGTGCAACAGAAGATGTATCCTGAAGAACTCAAACATTTCGTATGGCATTCAAAATTATAACTATAATTCGATTATGATTAATTTTAATTTAGGACAAATATGTTTGATTTTCTCGGGTTTTCATAGCAAGAGTTATAAAATTTTTATCATAACATCACAAACATTTTATCAGTTGACAATACTTCGATATCTTTTACAGCAAACGAGATAAATTGACCCAAACTTGACGGGTCTTTCCATTTTATGGTACAGGGTTGCACACAATTACCCGGACTTAAAAACGGGTGCACTTTTAGTCATAAACATCTTGAAAGCAGTGGGTTGAAATATAATTTTACGTTTGATTCAAAGGTTCTGAACTTTCCAAAGCAATTCCTCCAGTCTAGGTATTGTTATGGTGGTCCAAGAATTAATGGAGTAATGTTTCTTTGTGATTTTCATGTGATGAAGAAACTTTGACAAGTGATAACTCAGCTCAAAGTTGATCAAATATTTGGAAATTTGACCAGTTTACAGATGGAATATTTGAATTTTCGAGCTCCAAATTTGAGCCCAGTACAACGATTTTCCCAAATGTTGTGCTAGTGCAAACTTTAGTTATGAGCCATCCTGTAGATCTTCAACCACCCTGTAGAGCAATGATAGTACTTTTCCTGGTCTCAAACTTGTTCTCTAATCACTTATTCTTTCTAATTATCAGATTTATATAGATTTATAGCATTGGATTTTTATTCTATCCAATTTCCTTATCATCATCTGCAAATCTCTCTCCACCATCATCCGTTTTTTTTTCTTCTTCTTCTTCATCGACACTTCTCCCAATCCCATCATTTTTCGTTCATTTCCTCTATCCTCAACTCATTTTCCCTCTCAATCCAATCGTCTCATGACCTCAAATTGATGGATAACTTTCTCACCTACCTTCTCTGCCGTCTCTCTATCTATCATACTCTCTCACACCCCTAAATATCAATCAAAAGCCAATGCCCTTCTGGTCGCATGAAAATTGGCCAAAACAAACAAAATTCTGAGGGCTAATTGGTCCCAAAAAAATGGAGAGAACAAATTCAGAGGCCCATAAAAGTCTACTGTAATCCTCTTTTTTTAGTGCATAATTTATGCCTTGGTGCTCCATCGTTTTCGTTCGGAAAACAAGGGAGAACCATGGCTTTGAAAACAATTATTCATCAATTGCTCAGCTTTCGCTATTTTTCCTTTTTGGTGCTTTTCGTTTATACCAAGTTCTCCTCTTGAAACGAATATTTTTTAGATGAGATAAAAAGTTTCCCACTTCTTCACTATTCCACGTAGAAAAGAAGAAACACTCAACACTACATGATTACTTGTCGCCGGTCTGTAGGTTAGAAGTTTGGTTGGATTTCAGATTTTTAAACATTAGAATTTCAGGTCAATGGGTGTTTTTGTGCGTCGCGACAACATCAATCTCATCACGAATCATCGACGATCAATGGGACAGCGGCAAGCTAAACAACACATGCAGGTGAGAGACCTTTTTTTGGATTTCTGAAAAAAATCTGGATATATCGAAATATATCAAAAAATATATCAAAAATCTGTCAACTAACAAAATGATACTGACATTATGACAAACATTTTATCAGTTGACAAATGTTTGCTATCTCTCATAAGTACCGAGATAATTGAACTCAAAGTGCAAGTATAGTGTGGCCTTCTATAAGAGTGTTTACGGTATATGTTTACGGTGGTACCAAAAAATCAAATTCAGGATCAAAAATTAATTAGGTCCGTCAAATTTCAGTATGATATCTGAAAAATTATCCAAGTTATGGACCCTTTTCAAAAAATGACCTTTTGCAACCGTTGCATATTGGGGTGTTCACCAGCAATAGTATAATAGGACCTCATAAATGTGATTGGACATTGCTTTGATACGGTTTGGGATGTACTGGGTGGTCCTGGATTTCCGTTTGCAGTCCAAAACTTTCATATGTTTAAGGTATATTCGCTTTTTTCCAGGCTGGCGTCAAACTTTATCACCAACGACATTACGCTCAGGCTATCAACAAATGGAGGCAGTCGCTAAACAGGTTAAAGTAAGACCCTTTTTTTCATTTTTACCTCCAACTCATCAATGACTATTTCCAGCAATGCAGAAGACCGATTCATCACTCTCGGATACCTTGCACAAGCGCTTTGCGATCAAGGAGAATACGAAGGAATGCTTTCTTATGCTCTATCACAAATGCAATTGGCAACAGATCAGAACGATTCAGCGATGAAGTGCGAGGCTTTTCTGAATCTTGCAAAGGCTTACGAGCGATTAGCAGATTTTACAAAAGCACTACAGTACGGTAAAGCGTCATTAGAACATCCTTCAATGGATCCGAGAACACCTGGGTACGCACATTTGACAATAGCGCTTGCACACTTGGGAATGTCTCAATTTCAACAGTGTCTAGAAAGTTTTGAGTCAGCGATGAACGTGGCCAATGAGACATCAGATCGATTACTGGAACTTCAGATTTGTGTCGGACTAGGATCGCTTTTCACATTATTGAGGTACTGAAAAGTTTGTGGACTGTCTCGTACAATGATTATTTTTCAGAGACATCACAAAAGCATTAATATTCCTTCGAAACGCTCTCGCAATCGTTCAGTCTGTTACGGTGGATGATGTTCATGCCAAGTATCGATGTCTGATTCTGTATCATCTGTCAGTTGCACTCCGGATGAAAGGAAGTCTGGTGGATGCAAAAGAGGCTTGTGATGTGAGACAGTTGGTTAGCAATTCTTTAAAAGCGAATTTCAATTTTTCAGGAAGCTTCCCAGTTAGCAGTAGAAATGGGAAACAGAGCAATCCATGCGAGGTGTATGTGCAGTTTGGCAGACATTTACAGAGAATTAGGAGAGAGTGAAGCCAAGGAAACCATCACGGTGTGTCCCGGAGTTTTCAAAATTTTTGTGAAACCTGTTCTTCCAGAAGTCATGGGCTAGATATGAGGATGCGTACCGGGTAATGAGAGGAGCCAACGACAAAATGGGAGAGGTAAGTATCCTACATCCTTCCGTTTCCCTCCTAACCACCGGAACCACCATAAAACCAATCGCAGTCTCTTTTCCCATCAAATAACTTTTACGACTATCCCATAAATCTTCGAGCTTTATGAAGGAAGAACTCCTTGAGAATCTTCGAGTTCACGAACTATGAGAACATTTTTGGGGAACTGGTACTGATGTATGTTTTCAGGTACTGGTGTTATCCTCAATGGCCAAAAGCGCATCTGAAAGTCGATCTCATTATACGGGACAATGTGAATGTCAAGCGATTCAGTTGAACAAAAAGTGTATTGAGATCGCCAATCAAATTGGATGCAAGGTAGAATTCCAAAAACTAGTTTAATCAGGAGCTATTGCTATTTTAGCATGTTGTTCTGAAATGTCACCTGCGACTGGCAGAATTATATTCTCAGTTGAACGACGATGATTCTGAAGAGATGGCTCGAAGAGCAGCATCTCGATTGACACAAGAAATGCAATTATTCTGCAACTTCTGTGGTCAACGTTATGGATTAAAAGACGAAAGTTTGCAAGCTCTTCGATGTTCCCACATTTTCCATGAAAAGTGAGTTTTCCTTCGAGATTTCTAAAACTTAAAATCATTTCCAGATGTCTACACACGTACTTGTTGCAAAGGACGGATCAAAATTGTCCGAAATGTAGATGTCGAGCTGTGTTATCTGATAATATTTCGATTAGAAGTTCGATAGCATCAACTGCAGATGTACAGAGTCCTAGTAGTGAGTTCTCAAAGTTTTATATCAGTATTAAAATTGTATTTCAGCATCATTTGCTCCACCTGGTGGTGTTGCTACTCCTCTTGTCTCCGTTGCTGCTGAACTTGGAGATATCACACCTCAAGCCACGTTGACACGACGACCTCCTCAACAAGACAAGATTCTTCGTGGAGCTGAAAAAGATATCGATAGAGTTGATCGAAGTCTCGCCAGGCTGAAATCACAAACAACGGCAAATTCGTGTGCTGCAGTTCCTGTTCCATCTCCCGAAGTTCCATCAACAACAACGTCGGGAGCATCTGAACCGATTGCCTCTACTTCTTCGGCCGCTCCGATACTGTCAAATCAAACGAATCACAAGCCGCCTCCTCCGCCCAGGAAACCTTGCTGTTCTCAGGTACATTTTTCTATTTTTTTTTGTTGAGTCGAAGTTTTTTGAACTGAAACATTCTAGGCTGCACTTCCTCCATCGTCAATCGTTGCTCTTCCACCTGCAATGCCTCTGGCTGAAGATGGTCCATTAGTAATAACACATACACCTACAGTAACAGATGTTTAAGAAATTTCCAGTGAACTAACTCTTTCATCTTTTTCTTGTGATATCACTTATCCTTTTTTGATAGGAATCATCATTCTCCAATTTTTTACTCTCTGACTCAATTCCCACCAGTTTCTTTCCTGCTCATTTTCACTTCTTTTTTTTTGTAACTTTTGCAATTTTTATCAACAGAAAACTCAAAATTTTTCACATGGTTCCCCAGCACCGAAGATGTTCAACTATTTCGTTTTTTTTCGATTTTTTCTTCTAGAATTTGTTCTAATTTTTTTTCCAGATCTCACTCAATTCCTCTGTTTCAAACTCGTTCATTCTTTAATAAATCAATGTTCATTTTGACTGTAAAACTGCAAAATTGCTTCAAATAGCGAAAAAATGTCTGTTTTCGTCCATTTCTGGAACGTTATCAAACCGTTTTTTGAATTCCCGCCAAAACTACAAACTCCGAAAAATTAGCGGCTTTTGCGATTTTTCGAAAGAAAAACTTATTTTTTCTTCGATTTTTTGCAAAATTTTTAGCCCTTTCAGGTTTTCTAGTTATTTTCAAAGATTTTTTTTGATTTATCCAGTTTTTTGTCTGAAATGTGATGGAACGGTGTTCGTGTAGATTACTGTAGGTTACTGTAGAAAACTTATTTCTCCTCTCCACTGCGTGCCATGGAGAAATTGTTTTCTCTAGTCCTACGCTGAAATACTACGAACAATAATTACTGATGGTACAGTTTTATTTAGGATGGATATGGTGTGCAGAATACAAGTTTCGTATCACTCGAATCCGATGCGCCAGCTAGCTCCGAAATTGCGCTTTCACAGATTTTTAAAGTAAAAATTCAAGTTCTACGTGAATTGGTTTAGAAATCATTGACCTCTGGGAGAGTGATATAAAAGAAGAGGGAAATGAAAGGAAGAATAATTCTCTCCTTCTCGGGGCTCCCGAGAAGGTGATCCGGGGATCCGGGACAGGGAGCCTGGGTCCTGGGTTATGGCCCTGGATCTAGGTGACTTCGATCCCGGTGACCTAGATCCGGCTACCTGGATCCGGTTGACCTGGATCCGGGTGACCTGGATCCGGGTGATCTAGATCCGGGTGACCTGGATCTGGGTGACCTGGATCTGGGTGACCTGGATCCGAGTGACCAAGATCCGGGTGATCTAGATCCGGGTGACCTAAATCCGGGTGACCTGGATCCGTTTGACCTAGATCCGGGTGACCTGGATCCGGGTACCTGGATCCGAGTGACCAGGATCCGGGTGATCTAGATCCGGGTGACTTGGATCCGGGTAACTGGATCCGGGTGACCTGGATCCGGGCAACTGGATCCGGGTGACCTGGATCCAGGTGGCCTAGATCCGGGTGATCTAGATTCGCGTGACCTAGATCTAAAATTGTAGCCGGGGCGGCGAAAATCAACTGGTCAGTAAATAATTGAAAAACTAGTGATTTTCAAAAATTCTGTGAATGCAAAGTTTTCCATCTTGGTCTGTTTCACACTCTTCAAAATTTTCAAGTTATCAGAAACTTGACCGTCGAGCTCCATGGCCGAAAATAAACTGAAAAAACAAGTATTTTGTATATCTTATTGACCGGTACTGTAGATATTAACACAGAAAATAATAACAATAAACATTTGAACTCAAAGAAATGATTCTGATATTTGTGATCGTCATCAAATTTGATCTCTGCAAACCCTCATACGCATTAAATTCTTTGTCATCGTCTTTTCATCTTAAAACCATAAACTTTTTCCGACAGTTTTTCAACTTTCCGTCTCTCTCTCTCTTTTTCTCTTCTCAATCAAAAAATCATTTCCTGGCTGGAGCAATATAAAAGCACACCACAGAGTCCATTTTTTCACTGATAACTATAGTATTATTCTATTCTAAACTTCCCAACACCCCAAACCAAGCCAGTCAGCCAACAAAAAAACGCGCGCAACTTTCTAATTTCAGATTTCAAATATATTTTCAGAACAAAAAATTAGCTTAATTTTTTAGTCAATTTCCCACCATGCTCCAAACCATTCCATGGAAAAATTGCATTGGCTTACGAGATGACAAAACTTCCTCAAACTCAAGGAGTTCTGAATTTCATTCAAAAATTCCTCTACAATTCGACCAACTACAAGTTCCAAGATGGTACTACACAGGCAATTAACGTTCCTTATCCAGATTCGGGAGTCTATGAAAACTATATTCTCCATTATCCAGATGCCACGTAGGTTTTGAATTCGAAATCAGGAAAACATTGAAGTTTCAGAAGCACAGAAATTCTTGACATCAACATCGATCAACTTTACGGAGCAGTGATGGATCTCACTGATGCCAAAATTGAAAGGTTAGTCATTGCCTAATTTGTAGGGTAAACCAAACAAAATCTTTTTTTCCAGAGCATACGAGTACATTCTGGAAGAAAGAGACCCGGGAAATTCCACCACTAATGTCTTGATTACTGTTGGTGTTGAGTGAGTCTGAAGAAAGAAAAATTCAAAGATATCAAGTACATTTCAGTGATGGAGCAGTGTTCGATGGAAGTGCCACAAGCTACCTCCACCAATTGCAATCAACATATGGGTTCCGTGCGATCGCAGTCTCTATCGGACCTCAGCCAAACTATTTTGGAGATTTGGCAGAGAGTGAGGATTGGTATTTCACTGCAACTGAATCCAATTCGCAATGGGTGGCTGATCAAATTTCTCGAATCATTTGTCATTTGTAATTTTTGTGTATTTCAATGAACCATTTCAAAGAAGTATTCTTCATGATATGTACACAAACTTAAATGACAAACTATTTTATGCTTTTTGTAGTTTCTTATCTTTTTTATTCTTTCGTCGTCATTATCTAATAGCTCAGAAAACGAATCATTCGCAGTTATATGATTTTCAGACTCTACCAGTCGGCAGTTACCCTAAAAATTAGTGAAAATACAGTATCGGTCAATTAGATATACACAAATGTGGTTCTCAGTTGATTTTCGACCATTTTGACAATTTTCAGGAGTCTGGAAAACTTTACACGGTGCAAAACAGGCCCAAATTGAAAATTTTGCATTCACAGAATTTTTTCGAAAATTCCTAGTTTTTCAGCTATTTGCCGATCTCTAACAAACATCCCATTTAGGCCATTTTTTTGGACTGAAGACGGGAAAAAACAGGCTTCAAAGTGATCGGAAACTTGAGAGCCGAGCTCCGGACTCCTCAAAATGATCAAAATCAAAATGCTCGGCTGCGAGTGCCGACCAATTTCATGACTTTACAAGTCTTGGCCAAGCCTCCCACAAGCCTTAGCTAATACATAAAATAATGTGCTCGGAGACTTGTGCTAGACTTGTGGGAGGTCTGGCCAAGTATTGGCTCCGACAGCCGAGTGACTATTTTAAAATTTCCGCTTTTCCGACAATGCCCTTTGGAATTACGGTAAAGTTTGAGGCTAAAAATCCAAAAAAAAAAAACCCAAAAATTTATAAATTTATAAATTCATTCAAAATCACAAATTACAACAAAAATCATAATGGGTATTTCCTAGATCTCCAAATTTCATAACCCGGTGTACAATTCAACACGTAGTCTGGCTCCATATGATGCTTATGATAATGTACCTAAATTTATCTATTTTTTCAAATATAATGTTGTTACCTCCTCACATTAATCATATTTTCGTAATATTCTTCTTCTAATGGATGATCATCCTGCCCTAAAAATGTTCTGTTATATAACAATTCAGCTGTACATTCCACAATGGCGTAATCGAACATTGGCATCATCTGAAACCAGAAACTTGAGAGATTCGAAATAAAATTGTGTGACCTACTTTATTAAACATAATATTTGGCATTTGTGCTATCACTGGCAACTCTTCAATTCCCATTATGCATACGCCATGTCTAACATATTTACTCCCACATTTCTCGCCGATTTCATCTGACCAGGACCACTTACTCCACCTGAAAATCGAATTTGGGTATTCAGAATATTTCCAAAGTCATACTATTATAAGTATACTTTTTCATCCTTCAAGTTGTAAAATTTTTCTTCACATTTGTGCTAATAGGGAAAATCACCGTTTTTCTGTGAAGGGTCTAATGTATGGTAGCCCACCCGTCAACTTTAATCTCAATTATCTCGATTCTTTCGAAAAATGTCAAAACGTTTTCAACCGATAAAATATTGATGATATTATGATAAACAATCAATCAGTTGACAAATGTTCGATATCTTCCACAGGAATCGAGATAATTGAGCTTAAAGTAAACGGTAAGTTTTTCTTCTGTTAGAGGAAATACGCCAAAACCACCAACTTTGAGCGCAATTATCTCGGTTCCTATGAGAAATATCAAACATTTGTCTACTAATTAAATATTGGGGATTTTATGATGAACAATTCATTAATTGACAAATTCTTCATATTTTCCACAAGGATCGAGATAATTGAGCTCAAAACTGACGGTTTGGGTGGGCATCTATTAGAGGAAATACGGTGCTCTTCCCACCGAAACCATCAACTCTGAGCTCAATTATCTCGGTTCCCATGAGATATATAAAGAAGCTTCAGATGTTTACTAATCAATAATTTATCACAACAACATCAATATTTAATCAGTTGACTAGTTTCGATAGCTTCCACAGGGATCAAGATAAATTGGCTCAAATTCTGGCGGTCCTTCTGTTACAGGTTATACGGTATACCTTGTGATAAAATCAATTTTGTTTCCAGTTTCAACCAAACACTTATCCGTGAAATGACCAGGCATCTTCAAAAACTCATTGGCTTGAAATGTTGAAATCCATTGCTCGTCGACGCCGTAAGACTGAAACCACCTACCGTATTCTCTCTGATTGAAGCTCACAATCCGTCAACTTTGAACTCAATTATCTCGATTCCCATAAGATATGTCCAAAATTTGTCAACTGATGAAATATTAGTGGAATTATGATGAATATTTTTTCAGTTTACAGTGTTTTCTTATCTTTTATAGAAATTTAGGTATTCGAGCTCAAAGGTGAGTGTTCGAATGAGCCTCAATACAGGAAATACGGTAAATTCGCTTTAAAGTCAGTAGACTCACCCCCTCATTCCATTGATCCAGATACTTCTTTGGATTTACTGTCTTCACCATCCATTCCACTGCTTCTCGCGATAAAGATCCTTGAACTGATCCTTTTGATAGTCTTAGCGTGTGGTTCAGAAAACCGGAAGAAAGACTTGATTCTACAATAAAACCACTTAACGTATTTCCTGTAATGCCCAACCAACCCGCCAACTGTAAGCTAATTAATTTCGATTCCTGTGAAAAATATCAGAAACTTTCGCAGAAATCGAGATAATTGAGCTCAAAATATACCGTTTGGATGGGCTTCGATTAAAGAGAATACGGTAATTGGAAAATATGAAAAAAAAATACAAACCATCTCGAAACAGTCGAAGTTTCTTCAGATCCCATTCGAATCTCTCCTCAACTCTACCGAATTCCTTATCAATATCAATATCATTGGCTCCATCAAGGATCTCGAAAATCCGTGAAATTTCGTAGACCGTTTTTCCAATGACGTCGTGATTCTGAGAATCGAAAAAGTAGGACCAGAGATCCTTTGAGGAGGGGACTCCGACCAAATTTTTTTAAATACATTTTTTTTCAATTTTGAACCCCCCCCCCCAATTCAAATGGTTTACCTGCATCAGAACAAAGTAGTCCCAGTTTGCAAGTTTTATCATCTTTTCCATACATTTGTAATGAGCCAAGTTCATATTATGACCAGCTGAATCTATTGGGAGCTCTTCTGAAATTTAGTGATTTTATAGACAAGTTACCGTATTTCCTCTAATGCATTCCCACCAAAACCATCTACTTCGAGATTGATTGTCTCGATTCTATGAAAGCTATTAAAAATTTGTCAACTGATAAAATATTGGTGCAATTATGATAAACATTTTTTCAGTTGGCCACTTTTTATTATCTTCCAAAAGAATGGCGATAATTAAGATCAAATTTGAAGGTTTTGTGGGCTTCTGTTAGAGGAAATACGGTGATTTTTGCATTTACCATCTAAAACATGAACGTTTGGTAGACATCTTCGAAGCCTTCGTATCCTCCATTTGAAGTCATAATCACTTTTCGAGTCGATAAAAAAACAAAACACATTCTGTGGATGATAAGACATCTGAACTTGTTTCTCCAGAAACTCATAGTCCTTGTAGACAACTCGAGCAAAAACCACTCCAAGTTTTAAAGGTCGTAAGCGGAAATTGAATGGAATAATTCGATTTTGAATTGCCTCGCAAGACATATCCATGTATTTTAAATTTGAGACCAAAGGTATTCGATTGTCTCCAACAAAGTTTTCTATATAGCTCTGAAACAGTTCCAGAGATATAATGCAATCTTGGGATACCACCAACTTTATCATTTTCCAATATCCTACCACAATCCAAGTGTTCAGTTTCAGGCCTTCTCCATAACACTCTTGCTTCTCTCGTACGCCAAAAACTCATCGTCATTCGAGGTGCCATTGAGAAGATCATAAGTGTACAGACGAGGATTGTTAGTAATAGAAAGAAGGTTCTGGAGAATTTCGAGCACATTTTTGGGAGAAAACGGAAATGATGGGAATGGCTTGGGGGAAGAAACGAATGAATGGAGAGCAGAATGGAGAAGAATAGGGAGGGAAAAAATAGCAAGATGATGAAGAGCGGAGGAGACACAAGGAATCCAAACATTTCATTCATTTCAAAACATATACATCCGCTTCGAGATGCTGGCAAACCCGGATATCAAAAGTTTCAAGGTTTAATTGAATTTTTTTGATAAAATAAATACTGAAAAACCATCCGTCCTAGGGCTACTGTAGGTCACAATTTTACAAATTTCTAGTTCCAGGTATTATTCTGTAAAAAAAAGGGTCCGAAGGTCCCACAACGACAACTACCGTAACCTAAAAATATTATTCTTTCCGAATTTATTTCCTCGTTTTTGTACGTTTCAGTCAATTATTCATTTTAAAAATACTGATTTTCCGACTATTTGGGCGCAAAAATAACGGAAAAATCGACGAAAATAAATTCTGGAAATAAAGTATTTTTAGGTTAGTTATCGTTGTGGGACATTCGGCTACGACCACCGGCGTTTCTCTTCCACAGATCCGTTTTATTTGTACCAAAAGATTTCTGTTTGTTTTGACCTTGAAATTCCAAGAAAAATAAGTTTCAATAAACCGAAAATTCACAGTTTGAACAAAACTACTCTAAATACAAAAAATAAAAGTATGCTTAAAGTTTACCGTTGAATTATCCGCATTTGTTGTTTAAACATTCGATTCCTGAATACAATTAGATATCAGAAGAATTGATAAATTCGACCGGAACAAATTGCGATCACGCTATCATATTGGATAGACGCCATCCGTTTTGGTCAAGGAGAAGAAAAAAGTGAAATTGTTTGATACTGGTTTTCCAACTTCCTTGTCATTTTAAACCTTTTTAACTTGATTTACAGTCTTAATTATATTTGTGTTTCTTAGTATAAATTTTCTAACATTTGAGCTTATTTGTTCCTATTTCGTGATTTCCTTCTTCCTTTCTTCTTTTATTTAGAAACTGATTTTCAAACGCGCGCGCTTTTACTTACTCGGCGACCTAGCGTTTGCGCTGCGAAACCTCTTCCATCTGCCTGTCGGGAAAAAATTTCTAATTCGCCGCAATTTCTAGCGTTTATGTTGTTGATTTTCTTGTTTCTCTTTGGCTTACAAGGTAAAATTTTTCTCTTCAAAAATTTTCTCTAAAATTAAATTTACAGCCTGTTCCGCTGGACGTCTGCAAATCATCTTACCGGACGATGCACCGCCACTTGACTTAGAAAATTCAGAATTCGATTCCAAGTCTTTGTTGAATTTTAACAAGCAAGTATTTGGAATCGGAAGTAGTAGCGATTGTATATTTGTTTCATAAAATCATCGGAATTGCATTGCATTTTTTGCAGTTGGTCAAAAGCTATCGTCTAGTACGTTGTTTGAAAAACCGAAGGCCTTGATGGTGATCAGTGTCCATGGCTTGAATGATTTCAATTATGATGGTCGTACCTTCAACTTTACCGACAAATTCGATTTGCTGGAAATTAAGGATAGCTTGGAAAAACTCTTCGGGGATAGCATGTATCATGCTGAAGTGAACTCCTCGGGCATTTTCGGTTCACCTAATTTCAAGAGAGAGTCCCCTTCTGATGACGAAATCGAGATCGAACCAAATTACCAAGACATTCAAAACATGGATAAACTGACGGCAATTATTCGGGTAAAAGATCGAAAACAAGCCAACGTCATCGACTATTACCGCATTCATCTCGACGTTTCCAACGCACGGACTGATATGGAAAAGAATCAGCTCGCCGAAAATATCAAGCGAGGCATCGACTCGCTGCAAGAAGCCATCAAAAATGTCACAAATGGAAACGTAGTTGCAGAGATTTATACACACGAAAGTCCTGTGAAAGAGGCCGAGAAAATTCGAATCAAAGCGCTGCACAAGAAGTTTCAAGTCACTCAACCGAGATATATCGATCACCCGGCCACATTTGCAATCGCTATGCTGGTCTGCATAGTCATTTTTTTCGTAAGTTCAAAATTCTAATATTTTCCTTGATAAAATTGATTTCAGTCACTCCTATCCATGGTTTGGTTTATGTCGGACGAAAGTGAGATGGGAAAGAATTCGCTCGTTTATCGTCTTTCAACTTCCAGACCGAAAAAGGACTAATTTATTTTATCACTTTCCCCGTTTTCTCATGTATTGAGCTTCCAAAATTTTGCTGACCGGTTTTCTATTGCATTTCGCATCGGGTTAAATATGAAAAATTCAGATCTTATCATTTAAATGTTTCTTTTTCAATTAATTTTGGTTGAAAGCCCTAGTATTTCCAGAAGAATCCGGCAAATTTATTATTCAGCCTCTTGAAAATAATTTCAGAATGCTCAAGTCTGCTTCAACGCTGGTTCGAAGCTTTCTTCCAAGAGCACAGGCTACCAGATTGTGCAGTTCCACCACGGCCACGTCTTCAGAAGATGAACCCGTTGTGCTAGAAAATAACCCTTATACAAAGGCACCGCGCAAGTGTCTCTTGTGTTCCACGGGAGTTGAGCTCGATTACAAGAACGCGAGACTTCTCCAGGTAAATATCGAGAAAAAATATATCGTTATGCTTCAAAAGTCGGATTTTTCCATATTCCGAAAGTTCCGAATTTAAAAAAATCGAAATTTTCGATATTCCGAAAAATTCCTAAATTTTAAAAATCGGAATTTCCGATATTTTGAAAAATTCTGAAAAGGTCATTCCGAAGCATCCCTGATCGTTTCTCGCAAATTTCCGTTTCCAGCAATTCGTGTCTACCTTCTCCGGACGTGTGTACGATCGTCATATCACTGGGCTTTGCGACGAACAACAGAAGAAGCTTATCGAAGCAATTGCGGTAATTTTTTCACAGAATTTTCAGAATCAAAATCGTATTTTCCAGAAATCTCGACGTGCCGGATTCATGCCAATCTTTGTGAAAGATCCAAAATACGCTAGAGATCCAAAGTTGTTCGATCCGCTCAAACCAATCAGACCTCATTCTTTTGCCTAATTTTTCTTCCTTTTTCTGCAAACTTTTCGTTTTGTTTTGTTTTTTTATTGATAGAATATAAAGTTGTTTTTAGTGATTAGGATTTCACCCATTATCTCTTTTTTCTCTACTTTTTTTGGAATCTACGGAAACCAATTGAATATCGTTTTTATTATGCTTGTCTGAGAAAAAAAACGTTAAGAGTATTTTTTGCAGTCTGAATACGGTAGAGATATCGAAGCGGAGAGCCTAAATAGCACACAAACGGTGGAGACGCAGACACTTTTTCTCTGCGTCTCAACCTTTTTTTTCTCAGACAAGCATAATACAGCTAAATTTTTATAAAACCGATCATATTATCAGAAGATGTCATCAGATGACGTCGTCGTGGCGGAATCTTCAATTCGAGAAAATTGGAGCCAACGAGCTGAAAATGTCGATGGCGATGAGCAACTTGCGGATTATCTGGCGTACTTAATGATTTTTTTTTTCTTAATATTCTGAATGACTGAATTTCAGACACATGCGACTCGTTGACCAGAATACCTTTCAAATTGTCCTTCCGACGCTTTGCATTGTGGCAGAGAAAGATATTACGAATGCGAGAAAAAGGGATTTAGAAGGAATATGTGCTGATGTGTTGTTAGGTATGATTATCAAAAAATTCTGGAATGTTTCTAATTGCAAGAAATTCTCTAATGTGTCCTCTCCTGTGTTTTTGCTATTTTTCAGCTAATTCCCCTCAAAATCCGTTTGAAAAACCTGAAAAAAATCACACAACCTTTCATTCTGTGCACTTTGCCGCCGCGGTGTTTGCTTACCTATCATCGTCTACCGTATGCCCGCCCTTCATTTCTTCTAATTTTACAAAATTCCATAAATTTGCAGCTAAAAATCGGACCCCAATTTAAATGTCCTATTTTTCTAGATCCCGAATTCAGTCGGCCATCCCGACGAGCAGTTCTTGCCTGTCTCAAGGTCTTTCGCTCTGGATCAGCATGGACAGATTTCTATACGCTAATCGAAGCCCTTGAAGAGCCACAGGTGCCTTTATCACTCAAAGTTTTAGGTTAAAAGTAAGGATTTCAGTTCCATATCATTCGTCCGGTACTTCCACGCTTTGAAGCCCTCTTGAACGCCGTTCGTGATGGTAGAATCGAGTTTATCTGGTTGAGAATCGCCTTATCTCGAGCTGTTTGTCACACAAATGGATGGATTCGAGTATGGGCGATTGAGAAGAGTGCATCTATTGATTGTAATATTTTGGAGAAAAATTACGAGGTGAGAATTCAAATTGTGCCACAAAATTTGTTAATTTTTTCAGTTCATTACATCGTTTATTATTCCAAACCTGAACAATAACGACTTCTTCTGGAGACAACTGGAAAAGGAGAAACTGGAAGAGTTCTTGCTACAACTCGGCGCAACTATAAATTCAATCAAATTCGCCCCTGGATTCTTTCGCAACCTGATAACATCAATCGGAGCCCTATCGTGTCCAACTGCCGTATTTTTTGTTGTCTCCACTTTGACTAGTATTTCTTGTTCCGAAGTTTTGAATGATGATGATGTGGCACTAATGAGGCAGGTTGTGTTGAGAGCAAGATATGTTCCTCACAAGTCGATTAGAGTGACAACGATAAGGAACCTGGTGGTGTTCTACGCCAATGTTACTCGATTGGTGGGTTAAATTTGAAGCTGGAGAGAAACAAATTTCCCTTTTTTTTCAGAGCAGCGTTGTCCTTGAGGAGCTCTGTAATCTCATTGGTTACTTCTCCCAAGATGCCACATCCGCAATGGTTGAATCAACTTTCCTCCAAATCCATCGAATCATAATTTCAACGGAATATGAAAATGTTGAAGAGCCAATAAGTCTCCAGAGCAAATTTCTTGATGATGCCAAAAATCTAGGATTACACTCCAAAATGTGGTGGCTTTCAATGGGAACCGATCAAGCATTGCAAGAGAAAATGCTCTCAAAAATTCAATTAGAAGTGTCTGAGACGTTGGGAGAAGAAACGCCAAGTGATCTCTCTATTCAGCTCTTCTTGTTGAAAGAGCGGCCAAGCAATGTGATTTGTAAGGATGGTAAGTTCAAAAACAATAAAACACAGAACAAAAGCTAATTGCAGATGTGATGGAATGCATGAAGAATGAGCTCGGAGAATACATTCTCACTAAAATTGTGTCCAATGAAGGCACAAAACGAGAATTCGAGCTTCTTCATTCTCTCTACATTCCCCTATTCACGAAATACTGTTCTCATTTGTTCTTTCCTTTTGCATTGGCTGTTATTAAGATGTTAACAGAGATCAAAAGTTGTGAATCGTCTGCTTTTATGCTCACATTCTTTGACGCAATAGTAGAGAAGGTTGCTGATGATCATCTAGAAGTGCTCAGTCGTGGCTTCTTGGACTATCTAGGAGGCAAGGATGTGATCGGGATGAAGAGACAAAAGAAGTAAGAATCATGTCAATAGTTAGATGTTGAAATATGTGCATTTTTGCAGATCAGTGGAAGAATATGATACCAAAGAGTTCAACGCCATCGTGGCTATTCTCCACTCGCTTAGGATTAAACTTCTTAATAAGTAGGTTTCAGAATAACTTACTCCAATTTCAATTTTTTAAAGATTTATAACAGAAGTGGATGTGAACTCCTTCCTCACTGAATGCGTTGAACAGCTCGACGTAGCTTCTGCATTCCCAGTGAAACAACAAATATGTCATCTCATGTCAAGATTCATTCGAAGATGCTCTGATCCCGAATTGACGTTACAATGCATTCGCGCTTGCTCCAATATTGTAAACGAAGAGAAGAAGTCGTTGAACAGCCTCCCAGCGCTAGATTGCTTTGTGACTGTAACGCTGAGTGCTTCACAAAGCAACCCAAAAGTATCACAAGAATCGATAGAACATATTGAATCCCAGCTCTCGATTGCTAGTCAAAGTACACCGGTTGCATTAATCATTGTGGATGCTCTTACGAAATATAGAGCTAATTTGGACGCGAATTGGGCGCCAATTATAGTCAAATTGGCGTTATTTGGTCCTGTTCCCAAAAAAGAGACACGAGTCATCTCGTATGCCTATTCGAGAATTTTCGAAGAAGAGGAGTCGCATTTTGAGAAAGATCAAATTGAACGATTGGATGAAGTGGTTCAGAAGGCTCGTTTTAAGGCTGTACTCCTCGCTTTAAAACTGTCATCTGAAGATAATACCAGATGGACCTATCCATTGATGGAAGAGATTTTTAAAGCGTCCGCGGTTATGGATCAAAGTTCTAGTAGATCGTTCGGTCTTTCAATGGCACATAGACAGAAGACAAGAGGTGTGGAATTACTTCATTTGCTGACAACTAGAATTGAAGATGAGGTGAGAATTTGGAATTTTGGAACAATATAATTTTAAATTAGAAATCTCATTTTCCAATCACATACCGTAAACCTAAAAAATTCTGATTTCGAAGAAAATGTTCGCAATACGGAGACCCCACGAATTCTGGAGAAGAAATTTTCCTAGAAAAGTAGGCGGAGCCTAAATTGCAACCCTGGGAAGGTTTTTTCTCACGACCGTATCCAAATGTGCTAAAAACCCATGCGGCAAAACTGTGCCACGGTGGCAATTTAGGCTCCACCCATAAATTCAATTACTAAAATCACATTTTTCAGGAATTCGCCGAGAAAATCTTCGACTTTTGTATCAAATGCGTCGTCGATCCGTGCCAACAGTTCTCCATCAAGTTAATTGTCGAATGGACCATAGCTAGACTATGTGCCAAATTTGACAAACTTTTCAAAAAACTCATTGACGATAGTTTTGAGGTAAATTAAATAGTTTTTTTATAAAAATATCCAATACCGTACAACCTGTAATAGAAGGGCCCTTAACTTTTAATTCTGAGCTAATTTATATCGGCTCCTGTAAAAGATATCAAAAAGTTGTCAACTAATTCAACATTGGTGATATTATGATAAAGGATTTATCAGTTGACACATTTTTGATACCTTGCATAGGAATCGAGATAATCAAGCTCAAACTTGACAGGATGGGGCCCTTCTATTACAGGTCTTTCGGTATTATTTATCAATATATAATTCAGAGAAATATGGCTGCTCAACGAATCGGTTCGATGTCTTCCTGGTTGAACGTTCTCATGCTCATATCTCGTGCTTCTCCGAAAAATGTGGACCAATGCCTTGAAAAGGTCATCGTCTGGTGTACAGCTCAAAACTTCCCTGTCAGATGTAGTGCTCTCGCAGCAGCCCGTCTCATGTTCTCCACACTCGACAAGGATCGTCGGAAGAAATGGAGACTCGTCAAATCCATTGTTAACTTTGATGCGGAACCTTCTGGAAACTCTAGAAGAGTCATTGACAATCTCTGTTCCGATTTTTACTTTGCCAAACTCCATATCGATGATCACTTTGACTTCCATACTGTGCTTTCGCTTATCGCAAGTCGAACAGGAATGCCAGCAGAGGAAACGATTCCAGAAAAGATTATAGAAGAATTGAATACTATCAAGAATCAAATCAAATCCTCGAATAATGATTCAACGCTTCTATCAGCACCCTCAGATGTATATTCAGCGCTATCCAAGAATGCAAGTTGTGCTCCGAGTATGGAGAACGAAGACACCGTGGATTTGGATGAGATTCCAGAAGAAACAGAAGAAGAAACAACTACATCCTCATTCCAAAGAAAAATTGTAAAAGATACAGAAGTGAAGGATGACGGAGTTTCCCTGATCGTTGTCGCTTCTCTCGTTGATAAACCCAACAATCTCGGTGGAATTTGCAGAACCTCTGAAATTTTCGGAGTCGATACTCTCGTCGTGGCAGACGTTTTAGTGGCACAAGACTCAAATTTCAAGGCGCTAAGCATGAGTTCTGAAAACTGGCAGAATATTGAGGCAGTGAAACGGGCGAATTTGTTGGAGTACCTTCAAGGTCTTCGTGCCAATGGCTACACTGTTATTGCTGCTGAACAGACTACGGATAGTGTCATGATGCATGATTTTGTGTTTCCCAAAAAGGTAAGGACCTAATGAAATTAACCAAAACGTTGTCTTTAATTTGTACAAAAATGTATGTATTGTGGATATAAAAATTCACATGAAAATGAATAAAAATTCAAAAAAACCGCATCGAAAAAGCGAAGTGGGATACGGTGGCATAGCGGCCGAGTGTGAGTTT